TCCTGCTGGCACTTTACTTTGTGAGTATATGCCAGTAAAATGGCTGGTCCTGTGCTGGAGTACATAGATTCAACTATATGCTTGCAATCAGAGGAATAATGCAAACGGGTTTATTTTCACTGTGTTAAGAGCTGCCACAAAACAGGCAAAGGAAGCTTTACTTTTAAGAATTAGAATGGGTTGTAATGCCATGCTGCTGGACTATTACGGGCAAACTAGTGAGTCATTACTGTCAGGCAGCACATGTGATGGTCAGTTTATTAGCTGTTGCAGCAAAAATGAATCTACAAAATGTGTGCCAAAATGAGTCAAGTGGACCTCTCAGGCCAGGATCCCTAACATCTACCAGCAAAACAGGGTGATGAAATAATTGTTTACAATCCTCATCTGCCATGTTGGTGCTGTAATAATAATCAGGATTATCTTTAGCAAACTAATGCTGCATTCTTGAAAAAAATTCTTCTTGCTGATTCTAATTGCCGGGACAGGTTGGTATTCCAGCTGATCTCTTCCATGTATTCTGAATTTCTGTCATTGGTGTTTGTCCCAGAACTCTACTTTAACATCAGTTCTGCATCTTGCTGTCATTTCTACTGTTCTTTGTATGTACAGGAGCAATCCAGCGAATCCTCAGCCTTACAAAACGGGGCACAACGTCTCCAGAGCTCTGGGAGTGCTTCTTTACTATTTTTGGAACCAGCTCTATTGCTTCTATAATAGGAAGGCTTCTGGAAGCTTTCTCCTTCCCCTTACCCCAAGAAAGTAGCCTTTCTTTAATGCAGAATCTGCATGGGAAAACAAATCTAGTTTTATATGCTGAATAATTCAGCCTTGGCTCATGGATCACACGGCCTCAAGTGCACAGCAATATGGTATCTTTACTCATACCCTGTAACCTGAGGTTGTAGCAGCTGTAGCCCTGCTGCATGGTTTTTAGCTACCCCCTATTTATCATTCAGGACACACAGTAGATTTTGCAGTGTCAAAGAGTGCCAAAGTAGGTGGTAGCTTTCTAGAAAGTGGAGTAACCTGTGATCCGTGTATCACCAGCACTGCAGCAGTGTTGGCAAGTAAGAGATTTACTGGCTTTGTTTTCCTCTTGGATTGAGGAGAATGAATCTAATGAGCCAGTTCTCAACTCCTTCCCAGTTGAGCAATGGGTGATAACCTTAACCCAAATTGTGCAAGACAGCTGAAACATTTCAGGAACAGTTTAACAAGGGAAACACTTGTAATATTTTTTTTTCCCGATATTAAAATACAGAGTTAACAAGGTGCAGCAGAGTTCTCTTCCCCTTCTGAGATTTCTTCCTTTCTGAGGGAGAGAGGATAACTTAGTCCTTCCAATGCTAACCACACCTAGAGGAGAGAAAGCATGAGAGCTACAAATTTGAATCCTTTTATTCTTATTGATATGCTCTTGGAAGGAAGGCAGGTTCTCCCTGTAGTGCTTCATTAGAATAAACGTTTCATATGCTTATCAGTACAGCAAGTAGTGCTGTTTTACAGCAGTGAAGAGTCAAGGGTTGCCTTGAAGTCCTACGTGCTTGTTTACCCACTTCTGAAACACAGTATGCATTCAGAAGTCATTCTTTCCATTGACTTGAAACAAGTTAAAAACTGCTCTGCTGTAGACACTTTTCTGAGCGCAATTCAAGGTGTGGATTTGAGACAGCTGAGTTAAGTCTGAATTGCTGACAGCCTTGTCCCACTGGGCTTTGCTAGTGCCTGCCAGGTGCAGGGGTAAGTGGGTTCAGGGAGCTGACGTCTTGTGGGTTAACTTTCTTCTAGTTAGCTCCTTGGGCTGCTTCATGTGAGAAATGGAACACGAACCTGTGCTGATAAAGGGGTTGATGTGAAGGCGATGGGAGGGAGGGGTGGGAGGCCAGTACGGCAGGAATTAATGGTGACCAAAATGGCTGTGGAGCTGCACAATGTTTCAGAGCATCCATGTGCGCCCTGCTGACATGGATGGCCAAGCTCAAATTTATGTGGGATTTGTCAGATTTTGGATAAATAACTCCTGTCTGGTGTTATCCAGGGTACAGAGTATGGATGGGAGCTTGGTGGAACTTTGAGAAGGGCAAGAGTAAATTTGGTGGGGAGATGAGCCAAAGGCAGTGGTAATGAGGTCTTGCTGCTTGGCCAGCTCTGATTCATGGTACCTAAAAGAAGTGGTAGTAGGCTTTGGTGTGTAAGTAGACACAGGAAGCTTCCCTCTGTGTTTATTGCAGCTGGAGCCCATGTGGTAGCTTTATTGCTTTTAGATTAGAGAACAGATCTATACAGTTATACCTTTTGACCATCAAATAGAGGGGAAGCTTAGCACACAAAGTTTCACAAGGCAAACTATGTCAGTGGTGGCTCCTGTAGCTGCCTGCTGCAGCTGAAAAGGGCAAACTGCAGTTCAGCAGGACTTGGAGAATCTCATCTGATTGTACATCTCTTAATGCTTATAAGATGGGTATGGTGTCTTTGCTAAATACCTAGTTCGATGTGGTAGTTTGTTGTCAGCTGCGTGGAAACACAAATGTGAGGTCACTCTGAAACTCTTTGTAAGATATCCTTAGTTGAAATATGCTTGTTTTCTCTTATTTTGCTAAGACTGTTCTAATAAATAAAAAAGGGAAACCTAGCTGGTCAACTTAGTCTTAAAGGGTGGTTCTTCAAGGTGTTTAAAATAGGTAGATATTACACAAAGAATAGTTAAAAACAAAGGGTTGTGTTCCTCTAGCTGTGTTAAGGGGCTGAGATGAGGACCTGGTGTATCATCTTGCTGTCTGACCTAGTCTGGAGATGCTGTGGGGTTGCTACCATGAAGTGTGAATGTTGGGACTAGTGAAAGCTGCTTTCTTCTTTATCCTGAGTGTGCTGATGTTCTTTGCCCAACTGATCCAGTGAGATGGCCCTGCGGGGAGCATCTTAAAGCTAGCCCTGTGTGGGGATAGGGCCATCAAATGTGGTTTTTACCAACAGCGTGACTGCTGCTTGGAACAAGTTCCCAGGCCATGGACTACTTCCTAGAAAGCAAATTTTCTGAAATGATGTGCCCATCCTTTGAAGTCCTTTGTTAATCATTTACTGTTGCTACTGTTTAAAACGCACTTGCTCTTGCAGTAAAACTTTAGCTATCAGAATATCAGAACCGGCGGTGTATTCCCGCGCAGATGAAGAGACCTTGACCCTCCTCCATACACGCTAGCTGAGCTAATACATTTGTTTTTCTAAACTGCAGCAGCATTCAGGTGGATGATAAGATGGGCAGTTTTGTGGGACCATTCAGGGAGCTGCGGTCCGTTGCTGCAAGGACATGATGCTCACTGCTGCCAAAATCTGAGTCCTTCCCACATCTTATGCATAGAGGCATATGTTTGGGGGTGATTTCAGAAAAGGAGAACAACATGATTAGGTCTTTAACTTCCTCTTCTGTTTTGTTTCTTTGTGCATCTGTATTTCAGTTTTCAGGCTCTACCCAACTCTGTGCAAAGCTAACAAATCAGCTGAAGCACCTACTGATAAGGATCAGCCTTGGTAAAGAAACACACTGTGGTAGTTAAAAGGCAGTAAGTATCTGCTAGCTTGGATGCTGATTTTTTTTTTTTTTTTTCTTTTTCCTTTTTTTCTTAATTCACAAGCACAGATTTTTACTACTTACACAGTAGGAATTTGTCAGTAGCTTGCTGGCATTAATAGTCTATTTCAGCTCTTTTCTACGGCCCAGCAGCTATAGGAGGAGAGGGGAAAAGCATGCTTTGTATGGAGCTGTGTTTGGATCTGTGTTGCAGTGCCCATCTGAATTTGCCTGTGTCTATTTTGGTAGCTTTGGCCTCCCTCTAGTAGATGCTACTCCCTTAAGTGCATGACATCCCACTGTACGATGCCTGTGCTTGGATCCAGATTGTGGATTTGTGACCTGAGCTAGTTTGCTTAATGGTTTTGCTTCTCAAGCACTTTACTACAAACAAGATATCTTTTGGTTTCAATTTTTTGTGTAGCTTTTTACTGTTTACTTCTCAATTGATCTGCAAAGGAGTAAGACTAGGGCAAAACATCTGGTATTCCTAACCAGAAATACATGGAAAGAGGTTTTGCTATCGAAAAAGTGACTGGCATTCTTGAAATGGTATGGTTGCATTTATTTGGGTGTGGATATAATCATGTTTCTGTGGTACAGTTCCTGCTGAGTCTGAAATGCTAGTGTCAGTAAAGCTAGAAGGAAAGCCAGACAAAAGTTTGGATAAAAGTCAGAATTTTAGTGCCTCTTACTTGATGGTTCATGGGAAAGTAATGATTTTGTGTTTAACTTGATTTTCATGAAGCTGTATGCATATGCTGCTTTTTCCTCTGTGAATTACTATTTGTGAATATATATATTTTACAGCCCACAAACATCAGAAATGGCTGATTTTTGTGCCTAGGTTTCACTCTTGCAGGTAGGTCTTTGTTTTAACCTCCGGGTAGTCTAATGAAAATGGTGTTTAACTACAAAGCTTCAGTTTCTACTGCTGTTAACCATAGCAGCTGAACAACTTGTCTTTCTGAATTTATGGAGTAAAGGTCATACTCTCATCCTCTGGCTCTGCCAATGCAAGGTCTCAGTCTTCTCCATCTGACATGTTTCCTTGCCTTGTGTGTAGAGCTCAGCTGAGAGTTCTTCATGAAGACTGGAATGTGTTCGTATGTTTTATATAGTATTTTAGGCTTCTGCTTACTCAAATGTGGGCAGATTATTAACCTCTTATTCACTGTCACTAAAGGAATCATGTTGCTACAGTAGACATTGAGTCAGGTGAATCTTTACCAATTCCTGTTTTCCCTGACTGGGAAGTCATCCTTCATTGCTTTCTCAGTGAGTGTGGCTACCAAGTTAGAGCAGGTTTTCCAAGCCAGGAGTGTTTAGTGGCAGCGTCAAGTTGTAAACCACGTTGGTCAAGCACTGATTAACTGAGCTGTACATTGGTAGGTGATTCTCTGCATGGGATTTCTTTTTCCTCTTGCAGGCATTGTGAAAGGGGTGATGTGAGAGGCTCCATCTCTATGAGAGCTTGGCTGCTGGTGAGCACAAACCTCCATCAAGTGCCTCTGCCAGGCTGCTCTGTGGAAGTGTCACTCTCTGTAGGAATAGGGCAGCAGTAGGAACACTGGGCAAAGCTGCTGAAAAGGCAAGAATAACCTGCTGTATTAAATGACAAATCCCCTGGGGACATAGCTCTATAGTTAGCATCTTCAAATGGCATTCCTTTATTATGGCATCATTGTGAATGTTCCTCTGGAGAGGAAGCAAACAATCTTTAAAACAATCTGCTGGCAACTCAGGCTCTTAGTATTTGAGTTTTTCCAGGGCTCTTTTGCTGTGTCACTTCTTCCCTTTTATGTTCCAACTCAAAGGTTGTTTTTCTGTCACCGTCAAAGTACGTTAAAGTGCCAGTAATAGTGTCTGCTCCAAGGACAAGGTATAGAAAGCAGCAACCCAGTGCAAATGAGAGATAACTGCAGAACAGTTTTGTTTTTGTGCAATCTGCTGCCTTATCTGTGTGTGATGCAAGGACGGGGCAGTTTTCATAAGGCTTGGAGGCTGCATGGTGGTATGTTTTTTGTCCTTTATGGAGTCTGCCATGTTATTTTGATTAGAACACTAACGTAACTCCTGGCAGGATCAAATCTTGCTGCTAGCAGCGATTTCCCTCCAAAGCTTGATGCGGTGCTAACAAGCAGAAAGATCTCATGCGTCCTGTTTGCATGAAGCTCAGAAGACAGCGTGTTCCCTGGGAGATGCCAAGGTAGCACTGCAGTCATATATAAGGATATAAGGTGAAAAAGTGTTGTGTGTGCAGACAGGCTGTTGTGGGGGGTGTTGCTTGGTATTTTAATGGTGTTCAGAAACTCCAGCAGCAGTAATGATGTGATGATGTTCTTTTGTATCTTTTATTTGTGTCTTACATATATATATATGTGTGGTGTTGTGTGTGTGCGTGTGCGTTCTCTCTCTTGGGAAAGGGTCCTTGTCCTGACCATCTGTGTTTCAATTTCTGCTGTACTCGAATGTGATGATCTTATGTGCCTCTTGTTTGTTCAGTTTCTAGGTGGCAGAGACACGGTGAAGCTCTGTGTGGGGCAAGGAAAGCTGATGGGGGAGCCTTGTTCATGACCCAGGATGGACTGGCTGTAATGGCGTGCCTTAGCTGAAGAGGTAGTTATGATGAAGAGTTCCTGCAGAGCTGGCCTCCACAGGGAACCGCTGAATTCCACATCTTCCACCTTCCATCAAGTCAAACGGTATGAGCAAACCAACTGGTCTGTCTATAGTTATTTAGCACTTATTTGGCCTTTTCCTTACTTTCGTATTATCTTACATGTCACTCAAATGTTTAGTCTAAGTTCTTACTTTTGGATTGTGTTTAAGTGAAATGTTGTAATGGCTTAAAGGCAGAAATGTATTTGATGTTTTTATTTTGTAATGACAACTACAGATTCACTACAGCTGGCACCGTACTTGGAGAAATCTTTGGGGTTTTAACAACAGCTGTAAATTTGGGAACATGGCTTCAAAGTAAAACTAAATTGGAGAATGGTTTTCATAGTGGCTTTACAACATGCAGTCAGCTTAAAGCAAATGGAAATGCTGGTGATCATTGTGGTTTGTCTTACTATGGTATAAGTAATCAGATTAGTTTAAGCTCAGGTTTTCTATTGCTCACTCTCCTGTGTCTCTTCTTAAGAAATGCATGATTGATTTCAAACACGTGTGCTTATGTGACAATTAAGTGAACGCCTCTCACTGTGTCTCTTTATAGGAACACCGTACTGAACAACTTGTCCTTATGCAAATGCAAGAACATGCCAGTTTGTTTGAGTTCAAGCTACTTGAAAATATATGGACTTTTTTTTTTCACCTTCTTTTTCTGCAACCAAGACTCTTAAACTTCCACAGTGTGGAGGAAGAGTGCCAGCTTTCTGGTTTCCAAAAACTGTGTGGGTTTAAAACAGACTTTAACCTTTGTTCTTTGTTGTTGTGTAGACAGCATGTACTTGCTCTGTTAGTCTCGTGTTAATTTAATGCTGGAAGAGACTTCCTGGATCAGCCAGCTCCTTCCTTTCCCAAGCAATATCTCATAATTCCTTCTGTAAACTTAGTCCACCTCATAAGCAATTACATCTTCTCTTCTGTAGATTAAGCCGTTAACTGAAGATGACAGATCTAGCTGTGCAGTTGGAGAATCTAAAGAAGGTTCCTAATTGAATGTTCTTACAACCTTGTGTACTTGTTCAATTTGTGTTCCTTCTTTTCTTTTGTGTAAGGACCACTTCTTATTTTCAGTGGTTTGCCTCTTTTGCTGTATTCTGTAATATGTGGTTGGATACCCCTACATCTGTTTTTGCTGTGCTAAATGACCCAAGTGTTATCTAATAGCTTCATAGAATCATAGAATAGTTAGGGTTGGAAAGAACCTTAAGATCATCAAGTTCCAACCCCCCTGCCATGGGCAGGGACACCTCACACTAAACCATGTCACCCAAGGCCTCATCCAGCCTGGTCTTGAACACTGCCAGGGATGGAGCATTCACAGCCTCCCTGGGCAACCCATTCTAGTGCCTCACCACCCTAACAAGAAAGAATTTCCTCCCTATATCCAATCTAAACTTCCCCTGTTTAATGCATTACCCCTTGTCCTGTCACTACAGTCCCTAATGAAGAGTCCCTCCCCAGCATCCCTATAGGCCCCCTTCAGATACTGGAAGGCTGCTATGAGGTCTCCACACAGCCTTCTCTTCTCCAGGCTGAACAGCCCCAACTTCCTCAGCCTCTCTTCATCCGGGAGGTGCTCCAGTCCCCTTATCATCCTTGTGGCCCTTCTCTGGACTTGTTCCAACAGTTCCATGTCCTCTTTATGTTGAGGACACCAGAACTGCTTCTTGAATAACAACTGTCAACTCATTCTCAGTGTAGATAGATCTCTTCTGAATCATGCCAAAGTGTGTGCTGCTCTCCAGAGCAGATCTGGCAGGACAGTTTTCACTGCTGTCTTGAATATATAACAGAATCACCTCTACTTACCTGTTTCATGGGTGTTTCTCTAGTGGCCAATGCACTGTTCTTAGTTACCACCAAAAATTTTGGTGTTCAGCTTGCTGGCACATCACCATCTGAATTTCAGCACTTTCCTTAATTTCTGTTACTTGGTGCTTTGTGTCTCTACTGTTCTGGAAATGCCATAATTTCTGTGGGTGCACCTGTTGTTGAGGTCATTCCTAACAAAATCAGATGTTCCCAAGACTGATACTTGAGGCATTGGTTTTCAGGCTGATATTGTCTTATTCAGCCAGGGCTGAATAAGCTGAATAAGTCATCCAAGGCTATCTGCTGCTAAGCCAGTTCCTTTGTCTGTTTTCCCATTCCAGTCTGTCATATCCAGTAAATCTTGTGCCTTCTGAAGTCCGTGTGAGTAAGATGTGTAGTACATTTGCCTAAAAAGATCACTGTTTTGTGAACCTTCAGGTTAGTCTGGCATACTGAACTATTCCCTTTTCCCTGTTTTTCTGTGTTGTTTTAATCATCTTTGCTTGCAAAGCACCTTTGTATTGCAGTCAAACTACCATGCCTGGAGAGGCTGTGATTTATCTCCATTCTCTTTATTCCCTGCATTGCCACATGTTTTGTTAACTCCCATTGTTGCCTTTCAAGATGTTTATAAGTCTTGCTGCTTGGCCTGCAGTTTATAAGAGCTATCTATTTTGGATTCTAAAACTGAGGTGAGCCAATCCTTGCAGTTTTCATTAAGCTTTTTGTTCTTGCTCAAAGTAACCCCTGGGCTTTTGTCCTCATGATCACCCTTTCCACTCTTCTTTAGAAATAATGCAAATTCAAATTTGATATTTTGTGCTGTACCAAGACTGTGCTTAATCTTTGCCCTGACCTTGCTTGCAGCCCTGTTTCTCTCTGTGTCTTTTCTCACAAACTGAAGAGCTTTTCTATTTCTTTGGTTTTAAAGATCTTTGCAGTGACTTAACACTGCACCAGTTTTTGTGTTTATTCCTAGACTTTTTTATCTCTAAGATCCAAGTTTCCAAGTGATGCAACTTGGTGACTTGAACCCTGTGCCTGCTGCTTATATCCTTCCTGAAGAAGGAGCGTGTTCAGTTGGAGTTTCTTCTGTTCCTGTCTGGGATGTGTTCTTAATAATGAAAACACCTTTTGACTCTTGGAGAATGCCTGCTGGGTTGTGCTGTTTTGCAGTGAAATCCTTTGCACCATAGTGCAGCTGACTTCATGAACCAGTTCCTTTTGGTCTTGGGTTTCAAAAGAACCTGATTGATGCCTTCAGATCTGCTTTTGCCTATTCTTCTTTGGAACTGAGTCTCTTAAAGATAGCATGCTCCAAGGTTAATTTCTGCCACCTTTCATGTGTCCTCATTATGTATGCACAAAATTGAACACGAAATAGCATCACTTTGTGTTGGTTCATAAACTGAAGAAATTTTTTTTGCCATGACATTAAGAAAGGTCTTGGTCATCTTGCAGTTAATAAATTAGAAAACAAATCAAGAAAGAGAAAACATTTCTAGAATGAAACATGTCACTTATCTGTACTGCTCTGGCCAACTTTCAGTAGAAGCTTTATAAAACCATCACTTTTTTTTCTTACTGTCCTTCTGTGATTTCTTCTCTTAGTCTTTTCCACCACAGGCATGTGTGCTATCCCGTCATCTTTGAGCTACATGTTTCTGGAGCAGCTTATAACCTTGAATACAAAATCTTCCAGTGTTTCTTCCCTTCTGCTTTGTCATGCCTGTGTCATCTGTAGCATGGTTGGGAAGCGGGGAGCAGCATGGGTTTGAGCTTTCTCAGGCTTAACAGCAAATTACTTCTATGTCACTCGCTTCATGGTAAGTGGTTTTATACAAAAGACTGGCAAAGCAGTGGCACTTCTTCCTGTGTTAAATTTAGAAATAGCTGAGGTTACTGTGCTTTATGCTGAAGGGGGTGTGTATGTTTGCTTTAAAATGTATTCAGAACTTACAGGTGAGAGCCCTGAAACTGGAGTATTCTATGTTTTGGGCTTGAATGTGCAATTTGTTACCTGAAATCTCTGCCTGGGTGAAGATGATTCATTTTATGCTTGAAGGATTTTATAGCAGCTCCTCTGTGCAGTTATATTTGGGTGTTGCTGCACCAAAAGTCATGTTATTTGAACACCTGATGTGGGTGGACAAATCGTGGGTGATCCAGTATTAAGAGTTAGGCACCTACTTTGCATTTAGCTGCTCAGCTCTTTTGGGCCAGCTCTGCCCCATGTGTTCAGCTTTCTCTTGCTGGCCGCTCAAGCAGCGAGTGCTGCTTTAGTGGTTAGATGCCTTCTGTTTGCTGTCAGTGTCTGCAGTAATCCTCACTTGCTCTCCAGTTGATGCAAGAGGCAGTTTCACAGGTGTGCAGAGGTGGGTCAGGACCAGTTGCTTTAATATGAAACCACTGCTGCAGGGGAGTGGGTTTTCTAGAAATCAGATGCTTCCACAGCTGCTGAAGTCAAACCCACCCCTGCTCTGGAGCATCGTGTTTCCCAATCCGGAGACTTTCACTGAGCTTGGACACTTGCCACGCACCAGAACAAGCTGCAGTGAGTAGCAGAGAGTCTTCCATCCCAGCTGCTTGTCTGGGACTTTCCCGCTGCAGCAGAATCCATGGAATGCCTTTGAAGCAGCTCTTTGTCTGCTTTGCCTTGCCCTGGCTCAGTGCAAAGGGGATGAAAATGGTACTGGAGAAAGAGTCCAAAGGACCCACTGAGTCCTTCCAGAAATAACAAGTGGTTGACCATAGTTTAACTTGCATTCAGTACTTAGTGCTTCATAATTGTCAGTGTCCTTTACAGAGGAATTAAGCTCTATAGACAGCAAAATGGGATGCCAGGCTAGAGGAATGCCTTGCCAGAGGTTATGCTTGGTTTGGGTTTTTATTATTGTTGGGTGTTTTGTTTTTGTTTTCTTTTTTTGTTCATCTTTTTTTTTGGGTTTTTTTGGCTTCTGCCTTGTGTTACTACGTCCTAAGGGCTTTTTCAGAGTCGTAGTCATGTACAGTCGGCAGTGCTAGGAACTTTTGTTGACTGGAGTTAGTGTTTACAAAAAGAAGTCCACAGGAAACTTTGGGGTTTTGATTTAAATTTTCTTTTTACTAAAACCTTCTGGTGCTTTGCCCAGAAAACATGCAGTGTGAATATGCTGTTTGAGCAGATTACGCTTTGTTGTTGTTCTTGCTGGCCAGAGGAAGTCTTGTGGGCTTCACGGGGCATTGTGAGAGTCCCTGACCCAGGTGCAGTGAGGCAGTAAGTGAGTGCATCTAGGCTCTCTCTGGACCTTAGGGAGGAGTTGTGAAAGTTAAGGCTCTTTGTACCAGTTTTTCCTCCAACTTTGGAGCTTCCACAAAAGTAAATACATTATTTATTTTTTTTCAGGCTGCTGTGGTTTAGAATATACATAAATACAAAAGGATGCAAAAAGATTCTGGACAGCTTGGATGGTAGCTTATGGGCCTCGCCTTCAGTAGGAAGAGGGGTGTGTGCATGTCTGTGCATGTATAAAGACATATGTTTTTATATCAATCCTCTGTTGTAACTAACTTGATAAAACTGCAGTGGAAACAAGCTGTAGTTACAACTTTTAAAACAGTAGTGTCATTCCAGAATTTTAGGTATTCTGTTTTTTTCAGACACAGCTGATTAGAAACAGAAAAACTGACCCTTTTATTTCGTCAGCATAAAGATGGAATAACAGTATAAAGGCAGCACTGCTAGTTGTTTCAGTGCCGATCATTCCTGGCAGAATTACCTCTTATCAGCAATTCAAAACCACACGTTTGGGATTGAAAACCTTTTATTCTTACTCCACGGACTTCTGAAGAGTCGTTGTCTCTAAAGATAGAATGCTTGATAACTTAAAGGGTGGAGGAAAGCAAACAGAATTATTCTGTAATTAAGTATATCACAGGGAATTGTCAGTGACTTCACCTTTTAACAACTATTTTTGGTGGTTTTAAATATTTAAAAGCTTACCTGCAGCTGCCACAATTCTCTGCTTGGCAGCACTGAAATGTTGCAGAAATGAGGTAGTCTGTGAGTGGGGACTAGGCTCTGCTTCATCTTCAAAGCAATTTCTGCTGGGAAGCCTTGTTCTAATTCTAGGAGCTAGAAAAGAAATGTGTTGCTGACGTGCAGGGAAGAAGCTATGTTTGCTGAAGAGTTCATTGATCTTGATGTTCACAGCAAAATGTGTGTGGGATGGGGGCTTGTTTTGTACTCTCAGGTAAGGCCCATTACTAACATCCCTTTTAAAATGGAAGTTCTCTTCCCCACTGCTGAGTACTGGGAGCCAGGTGACACTGTGATTCAGCTGGTGAGGTGAGGATAGCAGTACTCTTTGTAGCTGTCTAAAGTTATTAAATGATGGTTTAAATCTGGATCCATTAAGACAGTGCAATGAACTGCATGTTGAATTCAAATGAGGCAATTATTCTGGCAGTAAAACTTCTGACTAAGGCATAATTTTGTTATGTAAATTATAACTTTTCAACCTTAAATGGTATTGTTGGCTGAGCCAGGGACTAACTGAAACACAGGAGGAAATATAACCTTAGACAAGAAATCTGTAGTAGGTGAGGCATAGCTATACCCTTTGTCTTTCTCCATAGAGCAGAAATAGGTGGGAGCAGCTGAACCAACTTTGCTGGCTAAACATGTCCTCTGAGTGTGTTGGGGCAACCAGTTTGATCCTGTTTTCATGCGTATAATACCTGGGCTTACCTTCGTGTGCAGCTTCTCTTAATGAAAGGTGGTGAACTGATTGTCCTGCTGAATTCCTGAAAACTGCTTGAAGAAAGCCTTTTAAAAACATGCTCAGCTCATCTTTCAAACATCCTGGCATGAAAACTCATGAATGAAATTTGATCTTCTGCTCTGAGCTCATGAGATTTCAACATGCAAAGTCGTATATTTAATTGTATTCACCTCTTCTCCCCAGGGTATGGTGGCGAGCAGCCATTGGAGCTTTTCTCTCTCTAGTCTGGAAAACACAGCTCCAGAATGCCCTTCTGGGTGGGGAGAGGAGGGCTGCAGGCACTGTTCTCTGCAGCAGCTTGCTGCAGTGGTTCACCTGCTGTTCTTTTGGGCTCTGGCACAGAACCATTGGTGGCCTGACTCTGCTTGGCTATAACGAGCAATTGAGATGAGGCAGAATGTATGGAAAATGAGGTGGAAACAAACTACAGCAGCCTTGATTTCCCATTCTTTTTTCATATATTTCAGCACCCTGAAGTTCTGTTTTTATCAGATTTTTTTAGTTTTTAGCATCAAACTGAAAAGGCAAACTAAATAGCTCAGCTGCATTTTGCAGAAGAGACTGAATTGGGAGGTGACCTAATTCTAATACGAGCTGGAATTAGCACACAGAAGGCACGGGGAGAGAATTAACCCAGGGACTAAATAGGTGTATCTGCAGTAAGGAATGCTCTCTTACCCCCCCAGTCTGTATGTGAACTGCAGATGGTTTTGGCACTGTCCGGTGGCAAGAGTGAGTTAATGATCCTCCTGTAAAATTAGGAGGAGAGAGAACATAACTGCATCCTTTCCTGTGTCTGCCTCCTGGCCTTCAAAGCACTGCACAGGACCCCAAAAGCTCTCTGCCCATGCTTGTCACACATCTCCTACTACTTATCATGAGGACCAGAAAGAGGAATCAAACCCTCAGGGGAAAGCAGTGGTTAAGTAGCATGGCTGCTTCTAGTGGCAGAGGTTTCCTCTGCTTGGACAGGCACAGGAAGTGCCTGGTGTGTTGTTGCCCCTGTGCACTTGTGTGTATTATGGTAGTGGCTGGAAGTGGAGCATCTTGCTTTCAAACCTTCCCTCGGCTGGCTCTGATGCTCTCTGGCTCAGCTCTCTATTCTGCCATCAGTTTCTCTGGAGGGCCCATAGATAATCTGTGGGGCAAGGCAGTCTGGAAGGTCCCCAGGCTGTGCACCATGTTGCTTCTACAGTGTGTCCATGTACATTGTTGGTCAGCGTCTGCTGTTATGACTTCCCTCTTACAGCCAGCCCGTGCGCTATGGTGGGTCTGCTTGAGGGTGGGTGAGCTGGGTTCTCCCTCTTCATGTGCTGACCCCACAGGTACCCTGTGTAGCATCAGCAAGGCTGTCTTGAGGTAGGTGTGTACCCTGATGGCAGTGTGGCATGGCAGGAGAGAGCTCAGCTGGCCTCTGCCTGCATTGGTCTGATACAAACCTATAATGTGTGTGAACTGCAGGTGTTACAGCTATAAACTTATCTGACTTTATAGATGTTATGACTTGAAAATCTTAATTAAAAACTTGCTTTAGTACTGCATTTCTAGCCTAAAAAAACTGTTTTGGTGGTGGCTGTCAAGGGAAACATTCAGTCTGGGTCTGTCAGCTCATGATAAATGTGGCATTGAACCTGCTGTTCTTAAACTAGCAAGCACAGATTATCCCTGTTTCAAAAGGAGCCCTTTTAATGTAACAATTCAAAGATTGCCATGGAAACATAATCTATAGTTCTGCAATATGCTTATGCGATCCTCCTGGGAGAAGAGCCTGAAGTCCCCCAATAATTGCATCCTATGTGGCAGCGCTCTGAGCTTTGAATTGAAGATAACTGCGAAGGTGTACCAGAAGGGAGTGAGTGAGTGCCTGATACTGTTGCACAGTGGTGCTGCTGCTGTAATGTCAGCAGCATCCAAGTGTCTCCTTCACAGTTCTTGAATTCATAAGCATAAAACCACAGCCTTGAAAGTGGTTCTCTTCAGCTGTACATGATGCTTTTGGCGGGGGGGAGATGGGACACGACGGATGGACGACGACACTCATCTGATGTATAGCATAAAGGCCTTTATGGGAAAGTACCCTATACAACATTATTGATGCACTAAAGGATAGGTTTCATTTTGGGTTATATTGGGAGATCAGGTGTCTTCTAGGATCTCTGATGAGTATAATTACACTTGCTAATTTCCCTTTCCAGCTTTAACTGTACATTATCTACTAAAACTAATATCTATTTACCTGGTAGCTAATGTCAAGATAAACCTTTTGACCCATGTCTACCTTACTAGTGGATTAAGAAACGAATGAACAGAAGGTTGGCTCTAACTCTAGAATGAGCCACTGGCTATGTTTGCAGAGCAGATCTAACTTAAATGTTAGGATTTCTCCTTGCAACTTCCTGGAAACATTTCTCTAACGGCAAGATCTCTGCTATCCTTAAGATTGTAATCTCACAAGTTTGCCAAGGGTGGATGCTGCAGCCTTGGTTGCAGCTTTTCCTTTCTCATGTGGTTCTTTTTTCATGTGGGCTGCTTGACACAGAGTAGGAGGCATGGTGGTGCCAGCTCTGGGCCACCTTCTCTAATTCCAGGCAGGCATGTTCTGCAACTGTAACTTCTCCCCTTTCTGTTTTTCTAGGGTTTCTGGTATGCACTTAAAGCCATATCTCAAGTTACAGAAGAAAGAGCGATCTCCAGAAATAAGCCAGGATTCCCTTAGAGGCCTGCCTATGAACCATCAGCGATCAGCACAAGAAGAAAAATACACCAATAACTGCACCAAACTGAGCGTTTTCCCAAAACCCTCCCTCGTGACTCCATCTCAAAAGCTTCTGGGGATTATTTATCCAAATACTATGTGCAATATGAATGGGAAAGGTCCAGCAGATGGTCCAAGTGCAAGGGAAAAGAATAATGCCCTATCTGCAACGATCCATCAGGGAGAAGAAGGGGAAGGGCCGCTGGATGTCTGGGCTGTAGTGAAGCCTGGCAATACTAAGGAGAAGATTGCATTCTTTGCAGCCCAGCAGTGCAGCAGCAACAACCGGCTAAGCTCCATGAAAATCAAAAGCACATGGGATATCGATGGAAGAACAGCGAAACGCAGGAAAAAATCGGTAGATCTTAAAAAAGCTAAAATTCAACTGGAAAGAATGAGAGAGACGAATGCCAGGTGCTCCCAGCCGGAGCCTTTTGCCTGTGGCATCGAGCACTGTTCAGTGCACTATGTGAATGAGAACGGTGAGGGTGTGTTCCCGGGCAGGTCCCTCTCGGTGATAGAGATGGTGGCCTTCCTGGAGCAACGAGCAAGTGCTTTACTGGTAGACTGTACGAAAACCTGCACGCCTGCTTCTGCTACAAGGCTGAGTACTCAGCCTAAAGGTGCACTTTCCAGCTCAGACCCTTTCTTTGCTGGGGCATGTGAGGCACATGTGGAGAGGGGACCTTGCAGCAATAGTGAGCAGCAGCAGAGCGAGCCTGTGCGCGTGCTGGACATGGTGGCCAAGCTGGAGTCGGAGTGCCTGCGGCGCCAGAGTGAGCGAGAGGCTGGGAGCCTCTCGAGGAACAACAGCTTCCGCAGGAATGTTGGGAGGGTGCTCCTGGCAACTGGCACCCAGCCTGAGGGAGAGGTGGGGAAGGTCTCCTCTGGGGTCCTGGCCGAGGGGTCCGGCTTGGAGGAGGCAGGAGTAGAGGCTGGACATGGAGGACATTGTGGCCCTCTGGGTGATGCTGAATTGTGGAGTGGCACTGCTTCTTCTGGGCAGCCTTTTCCTTCTGGGCTGGATCCTCAGATGGAGAATGTGAATTCAGGACTTGCTCATGCAGTGTTGGCAATAACGGCTGGCAGGAGTGAATCTGAAATGCGAATTGAGCCTCCCAGACCTCTGCTGTCCACATGTCCGGCTGCTGCCAGGTTGCTACCGGATTCCTTGCAGAGCAAGAACACGACTGTTGATTGTACATTGAAAGAGCCTGTAATTTTCCCAAAGCAGAGTCTGCATCCTGCTAGGAAGGAGCCCTTATGCATCAGTATATCGGTCACCAAGACCGAGAAAGGATGCAGGAAAGAGAAGCTCTCTATCTCCAGTCCTAGTGAAGATCCGCTCCCAGGGAGGCTGTTTTTTCTCCAGGCTGACCAGCCTGTGGCTCACGAGCAACAGCCACTACAGGAAAGTACCCAAGAAAAGCCAGGAGAAATAGCCCAAAATGAAGAGGAGGATGCCTTGGCATCTGACAGATCATACGTCAGAAATGCTACAGAGCCATCTGCCCTTTCTGTTCCTCTGACAGAAGGGGCTTTGCAAGTACTTGATGCTTCCTGCTTGAAAAGGCAGGTTTCGCATGACTTTCTGGAGACCAGGTTTAAAATTCAGCAGCTTTTGGAGCCTCAGCAGTATATGGCCTTCTTGCCTCACCACATCATAGTGAAGATCTTCGGGTTGCTTCCTACTAGGAGTCTGGTTGCCTTAAAATGCACTTGCTACTACTTCAAGTTCATCATTGAATACTACAACATCAGGCCAGCAGACTCCCGCTGGGTCCGTGATCCCCGCTACAGAGAAGACCCTTGCAAGCAGTGCAAGAAGAAGTATGTGAAAGGGGATGTATCGCTGTGCCGGTGGCATCCCAAACCATACTGTCAAGCTTTACCCTATGGGCCGGGGTACTGGATGTGCTGTCACCGGTCCCAGAAGGGCATCCCGGGCTGTAAGTTGGGTCTTCATGACAATCATTGGGTTCCTGCCTGCCACAGCTTTAACCGTGCTATTCATAAGAAAACCAGAGGATCAGGAGCAGAAGTGGAAGAGGAATATTAGTGCACATACACTTTCCTGTGAGATTGTTTGGGGTAGGAGATTCTCATGCCTTGTGCTGTTTACAGTGTATATAATTGTCGTGTGTGTTTTTTTTTTTTCCACAGGGCTATGAAAACTGCACATACTTAAACACAAGAGCCTTTACCTTTTAGATTAAAGATAGCTTTTAGTCCATCTATGTAAATAACACTATGAAATCTAATTGTACATACAGAGTCTACAGCTGGCTGAACAACGTAATCACTACAATGCAGCTATGATAGTGTTGCGGCTATAGTTGTGTGTGTTTTTAAGTGTCTTGTTTCAAAATCTGTATATCCTGTATAATATATGAATGTTTCTGAGAAGAAACTCTAAATAGGTAAAGGTCAACTTGTTTAAAGAATCTGCAGACAACTTAACTGGACAACCTTAAAATTAGACTAGAAACAGATCCATTACAGTAAGTAGTGTGGCAGTGGAGAAAAAGAGAGGAATGTTATTGTGTAGTCAGAATATAAAAAGTTCTTGTCTACCTTACCCATGTTGTCTGTGTTTTGTTTGGCTTAGTTTGGTTTTTTGGTTCTGTTTGTTTTTTCCATTTTTTTTTTTTTTTTTTTTTTACTTTGCATTCTGGATCTGCCTTACCAGATTTCCTCTTGTGTAAGACTTACCCCAAAATAAAAATACTGTAAAACACATGGCAGAAACGTGGTGCTGTGCTGTAGTTTGGATGTGCAGTCTGCTTTCTATAGAAAACAAGGCCTCCTAATGAAAAAAAAACAATCAAGAAAAAACCCAGGCCTCTCTTACCTAGAGCAATTCCTTCTGTAACATTCACAATTCCTGGCTTTTCCCTTCCCTCCCATCAGCTGTGCATGCAGCAGAGGCATGACAGAGGCTTTTGTTTTCCAGAAAGCTGGTGCTAGGTGTGTGAAAGTCACAAAAATGCAGACTCTGTTTTGAGGACTTCTGCTGCTCAGCTCTGGTGTTGGCCCCTCGTGTGTGCCCTGGATACTCAAGGACCGAGTGTGGGACCAGAAGGATGGAAGCAGGGTTGCCTTGGCTTTGCTGTCTGCTAAGAGGAATCCTTGCAGCGCTTTGCCTTGCTCTGCTACAGCCTCTGGTCTCTTGGTTCAGAGGTGTGAGTCGGTGCTCCTTCCCAGGACAAGGATGGGCTCCTGACAGTCATCACTGCAGCTGGAGAAGGCAAAATCTCTGACCTGATGCAAGAAGAGCTGGTGCCACTGCTTCATGTGGCTCACCCTGAGCCCTTTTCTCTACCCTGCAAAGCCCACAGGAGCAGCAGCCTGGTGGGGTAGCTGTGCACCTGGGTCATCCCATTCTTGAACCTTCAGCCAACTGAGGAAGGATGCAGTGGCCAGGCTGAACCACTCACTTACCTCTGCTTCACCTGCATTTGCCTGTAATGCATTTGTGGTGGGATGGCATGGAGTGATTCATGCTGAGGACAGAGCGAGTTTGAAGATGGATGCTTTTATCCTTTCCATTAACAGCAAGAGAAAGAACTGAACCTTTTCAGCCTGAAATGTGGGTTTGGTGAGCTCAGGATGTTCACAGGAGATAAAAAAGGTACACTGTTCTGGTTTGTTATTTGTCAGTCTCTGCTTTACTTGCCTGCCACCCTGTGTGTTGGGCACCCCTCCTGTTGCTGCTCAGCTACCTCTGCAATGCAGTAGACAAGGGATGAAATTAGAAATCTAAGAGAAGGGTGCAGCTTGCCTCATAATCAGCTGTGAAGAGGGAGAGGAAAAGCATGATCCTGTGTGGGTTTGTGACTTTTATTTTCTAATGGGGCACAGGCTGCACCTAAGGCTCGATCTGCTCCATTGGTTGCGCTGGGATGAGCGGCAGAACAGCTTGCTGGCAGTTGTTGCCTTGTTTAAACCCATCAGTATTAAAGGCTTCAGCTTAATTTCAGTTAAGGAAGAGGGGAAAGAAACTGCTTTCCTGCCTCCCACCCAGTGCTGGAAAACTTGAGATAACCTGTGCCAGGCTGACAGCAGTGAGGAAAGTCCCTGTGAGGCTGAAATAGAAGGAACAGAGGAAAATATTTTGCGTTTAGATAAAGGGCCAGTGAGGTGATTTTTTTGGTTGGGGTGTGGTTTTTTTGTGTTTTTTTTATGGTTGGTTGTTGGTTTTTTTGTTTTTTTTTTTTTTTTTTTGCAAGAGAGTGTAAGATTTTGGTCACCTTTGTTGAACAGAGAGCAAAACTTGGACTAAAATAATAATGGCATTAGGCTATTTTGTTCCTTGGAGCATCAAAATATGGAAGACAACTTGTGTTCTTCCCCTACTCCATCCTTGCCCTCCCCCCTAGGCAGGCTGAGGCACATTTACACATTACTATGGGGCTTGCTGGAACTATCCTTATTGCACAGCAGTGCCGGTAAAAATTGCTTTACAGAACAAGCTTTTGCATCCAGCAGTGGGCTGGTTCTGAATGTAGCTGTGCTGAGCTGCCTGCAAGCTTTCCCCCCCCCCTTAAAGTGCAGATTTGTTTTGTTAACACCAGCTTAGGGAGGACAGACAGGTCTGTTCAGCTTTTTTCTAAGAAGCAATTGGAGTAAAAAACCCCAAATCAACCAATTTTGGATTTACAGAATTGTGTTCAGAAGCACTGAGGACTTGCTGGTGCTGTGTGCTTGACGTCCCTGCCTGGGAGCGGTTGAAATGTCTGGACTGAATTTCCAGACATGCCTGTGAAGAAATCCAGTAACATTCCCATTGTTTCTAAGCTTCCAGTTTTCACCAAGCTCTGGGGGTCTCCTGGCATGGATGCTACTGAAAAAGCCACTGTGGCTGAGGCTTGTGGTTGGGCTCTTGCTCCATCCCACCCATTTCTACAGCAGCATTTCCCCTGTGCTGTGTTGCTGCTCCCTGCAAGGAGGCTCTGCAATACTTCATCTCACTGTTCTGCTCTGCTGCATTGGCCCCAGGTCAGACCTATAATTTCACTGATGCATCCAACCTGTGTCTCAAGTCCCGCTTCTTGCAATGTGGGAATGGTGCTGGAGCCTCTCCTTGGACTGTGTGTCTTCCCCAGCCTGCTATTCGGCTGGTCCAGGCAACCCAACTATGACTGGGATGTGGGCATTATGGGGCTGTGCTCCTGCCACAGCCCTGCCCTAGCAGAGGATGAAACCTCCTTCTGATGGCACCGCTTAAGCAGAAATGACCTCCGCAAGCTGTAGGCAGGAGCTGAGCTTGGAGCCAGGCTTGGCTTTGTGCACAGGCTGCTTTCCTGCATTGCCACAACTGTGACCAAGGCAATGAACCGCTGCAGATGTGCACGCAGCAGCCCCAAGCAAACAGCAATCATGAGATATCAGTCCTTCCACCCAGATAGCTGCCACAAAGAATTCAAATGGGGTGGGCTGTTAACCTCTGTGGCCTGCCAGGCCACCAGGTCCAGTAGGCAGACCCTTGTTCTTGCTGACTAATGCAGCCCTTTCCCATCCTTGTTGCTCAGACACACGCTTGTTCAGGTAGTTACCTCCTTAGAAAGACAACATGCTTCCATCCTTCTGAAATGGCCTTGTGAAGAGGAGCATCTTCCCTTGCATTCAGGCTCACTACCTGCAGAAACAGTCACCCAGCAGAGGAGCAGTTCAAAGCCAGGCTTACACGAGTGGCATTTCAGTTTACATGTGTATGTATAGGGAAAGTCGTGTGTGTGTGTGTGTGTTTTGCAGGACTCCAGTACCTGCTCTAATGGATATGCAGTTATTTTATGTACCAGTATTTTTCTAGAATGGGTATTGCTTACTCTACCGCTGTATGATTGCACTGTAACAGGTCTGGTCCCTGTGATGCTTCAAAGGCTGGAACTGCTTGTGTACTTCCCCAGCACAGTTGAAAACAAACCACACAGAACTAACAATTATAAATATACAACTTAAAAAAAAATACTGTTAAAGATTTATTGCAATAATACAATAAAATTTAGAAAAAAAACCAAACTGTTTGTGTTTAGTTACATCTAGTTCTGAAGTTGCAGAGGCCCAAAGCTTCTGCCAGTGACAAGCAACTCCTGGGTGTCCCACCTGAGCCCATATGAAGGCACCTGATTCTCAGCAGAGGGCTGAGCTCTCAGCATCAGGTTCTTCCTTGGCAGCTCAAATTGGCCACGCCAGATCGCTGGTCACAGACAGAAGTCATGGCCTGAACTGCACTTCCCGCATTCATGCTACGCAGAAGTGCTGTGTAAACTTGGTAGTCCATCTTCAGGTATCTATAATTACAGATATTCCTGCCCTCCCTCCCCAGAACCACCTGGAAAACTAATACTGGCGACTGCACTCAAGGTGCACACGATTCTTCCCTAGCTACATATGTGCAAAACACTTTTTAAAAGAACAACCCCCAGTCTGTTACAAAAGATGAACAAACGACCCATCCCACCGCATCTGAATGCCCTTGCAGTGCTGGTGTGCACTCTCAGTGCGTGACAAATAAAACAGTTGGAAAACATGGTCATGAAGTATATGGCTTAAAGAAGTTTGTGTGTTGGGTTTTTCTTTCCCTAGTAAAGTAAATGACAGCGTACAAAGCTGAATCATGACCTGATGTTTAAAGGCTTCAAAGTAGCATGAGAGGCAGCAATGAAAATGTGACTGAAATGCCTGTTAAAAACAAATGAAAAAACCCAAACATATTTATATGGCAGGGTCCAGCAGAAAAAAAAATGGGGGATCAGAAAGGCTAGGACTGAGGGGGACATTACCTAACAAAATACATGCAGTGAGTGCAGAGTTAAGGGTCTTTGGTTTAAAAAAAATTAAACCATTGACAACAGATTCACATCCCCAAAGAGCTGCCGTACAACAGGGAGCAGGGGTCTGGAGACAGGATGCTGAACCAGCACCCCTGGCATGGAGCTCACTGGGATAATCAGGCATTGGGTACCAAAACTGCTTTTCCACCCCATTCTTGGTGGGGACAGGAGGCAGCCATAGCTGGCCTGGAGAGCAACAGAGCAGAACCACCCCAGAATACTCCATGAGATGGGCAGGTAAGCCAGCCCCACAGCAGGGTTTCAAAGATTCAGGACACTGCCAGGTGGCAGGGATGTGGCTTGTGCATCACCTGCCGTGGCCTTGCGTGCCCCTGTTACGAGCTGCAGCACTGCAGGGACGCAACAGGGAAGCGTCGGAAGTCTTCCCTCTGGGAGGGATGGGAGGATGCTTTTACTTTAATTTACCCCATGGAGAAGTACAACGTCCCAGCCATAGAAAATGTAAACCATACGTTGGCAGCCCTGCTGAGCAAACCCATCTTTATGTCATCCATACCGCAAGGCAGAGGAAGTGGAGGAGCACTTGCTAACAAATGCTTCTGTCAGTATCGCACCCCTGCAGTTTTACAAGCGAGCCACCAGCTGTGCTGTGGGCATTTCTGCAGTGAAATGAAATCAGCTTCTTGGCATTCAGTAAACAAGAAGAGAAACAACCCACCATCGACATAAAATAGAATAGGGTTTAAAACGCATGTAGTGTGTGACTTCATCAAATTAGCTCAAAATGAGGTTTTGCTAACAGTAAAAAGTGGCAACATGGTGTTGTAACTGATGAATATTATTGCAACAACACAATCCTGTGTCTGTATCAAATGTGGGTCTAAGCTAAGAGAACATCCAGTGTTTCTTTGGTGTATGATATTGAGAGTAAAGAGCCTGTGTGCTTTGGACAGCACAACACAAAACTTCTAGACTACCTACCAATGGAAACAGCATGAAACAAGCCAGTTTTCTACAGCAAAACTGGATAAAAGTTCACAACTGAAGCTAAAACAAGAGCAATTGGCTGTGTGAATTCCTCTCCGCACTGCTTCTTTGTATTAAAAATATGGCAACAGAGATTAGAAAACATGTTAAAAATGCAAAATTTTCATGTCCTGAATGAAAAAAAAATTAGAAATACGCATTTCTGCATTATGCAAGACAGATTTAAAACACACACAAACGGAAACCCTGTAAGCAGTTAAGAAAATGTGAACTGCATTTGCACCACTGTCCAGGCTGCACAGAGAGCAGCCTTCTCTCTGTATTCATCCTGATGCAAACACTTCAAAACCTGTTTCTTCTTTAGAAAGTAGAGCTGGAGGCTGAGGAGTCCTTTTTCTTCAGGAGAATCATAGAATAGTTAGGGTTGGAAAGGACCTCAAGATCATCTAGTTCCAACCCCCCTGCCATGGGCAGGGACACCTCACACTAAACCATGTCACCCAAGGCTCTCTCCAACCTGGCTTTGAACACTGCCAGGGATGGAGCATTCACAACTTCCTTGGGCAACCCATTCCAGTGCCTCACCACCCTAACAGGAAAGAATTTCCTCCTTATATCCAATCTAAACTTCCACTGTTTAAGTTTTAACCCGTTACCCCTTGTCCTGTCACTATAGTCCCTAATGAACAGTCCCTCCCCAGCATCCCTATAGGCCCCCTTCAGATACTGGAAGGCTGCTATGAGGTCTCCACGCAGCCTTCTCTTCTCCAGGATGAACAGCCCCAACTTTCTCAGCCTGTCTTCATACAAGAGGTGCTCCAGTCCCCTGATCATCCTCATGGCCCTTCTCTGGACTTGTTCCAACAGTTCCATGTCCCTTTTATGTTGAGGACACCAGAACTGCACACAATACTCCAGGTGAGGTCTCACAAGAGCAGAGTAGAGGGGCAGGATCACCTCCTTCGACCTGCTGGTCACGCTCCTTTTGATGCAGCCCAGGATATGGTTGGAGTTCTGGGCTGCAAGCACACACTGCCAGCTCATGTTCATTTTCTCATCAACCAACACCCCCAAGTCCTTCTCCGCAGGGCTGCTCTGAATCTCTTCTCTGCCCAACCTGCAGCTGTGCCTGGGATTGCTCCCACCCAGGTGTAGGACCTTGCACTTGGCATGGTTAAACTTCATGAGGTTGGCATCAGCCCACCTCACAAGCGTGTCAAGGTCCCTCTGGGTGGCATTCCTTCCCTCCAGGGTATCAACCGAACCACACAGCTCGGTGTCATCGGCAAACTTGCTGAGGGCGCGCTCAATCCCACTGTCCATGTCAGCAACAAAGATGTTGAACAAGACCGGTCCCAACACTGATCCCTGAGGGACACCACTCATTACTGGTCTCCAGCTGGACATTGAGCCATTGACCACAACTGTTTGTGTGCGGCCATCCAGCCAGTTCTTTATCCACCGAGTGGTCCATCCATCAAATTGATGTCTCTCCAATTTAGAGACAAGGATGTCGTGTGGGACAGTGTCGAACGCTTTACACAAGTCCAGGTAGATGACATCAACTGCTCTACCCCTGTCCATCAGTTCTGTAGCCCCATCATAGAAGGCCACCAAATTGGTCAGGCAGGATTTCCCCTTAGTGAAGCCATGCTGGCTGTCACCAAGCACCTTGTTGATTTCCATGTGCCTCAGCATGCCTTCCAGGAGAATCTGCTCCAAGATTTTGCCAGGCACAGAGGTGAGACTGACTGCTCTGTAATTCCCCAGGTACTCAACAATGCAGACAGAACCAAGACACAAAAGTGCCGTCACAGAATCCGTCAGTCCGTAGCTAGCTAATTTACAAAATGGTACCATCACAGTCATCTTGGGTAAATAAAAAGGTTTTTCTGGTTTACAAAATGAAAGTCTGACCTTTTCTTTGTTCCAGGCACTACTTAACTGAATACGTAAGGTTTACTACAGCATTGTTGGGGAGGGATTCCTTCCACAAATCCTATGATCCTTTTGCCATGCTTGTTAGCGATGTCCAGTGTATGCCTTCAGCCACGAGGTCACCGAGGCAGCAGCAGAAGAGATCATTCCACCAGCACTGCTGCTGGCAATGGGCTGAGATACCTGCGTGCTCTGGCTCTGCAGCATCTCCACCTGCTGAGAGGGGATGTCACAGAACCTGGGGCTTGGCAGATTCTCCCAGTCTGTCCCTAGGTCTGTCTCTTCATCGCTGATGTGCTCATCTCCGCTCTCATCTGTCTCACCAGTGGCACTGGGATCCACAAACTCCATGGAGTCTTCAAGATCAGCACTGATTTCGAAAGGCCCAGACCTGTGAACATGAACACAGTGCCATCAGCCTGTTTGGTACCATGCAAGAGAGGCACTGTCCATTTGCCTGTATGAGTCCTGGGCATGCCAAAGCACCCTGCTCTACCATGCGTACAGCAGAGGAATTACAACACCTCTGTGTCTATCATTTGGCAAAGAGAAACCCACTGGCTACAGAGCTAACTGTAGACAATGGTGAAATGAGAACAGTTGGCTGAGGAAGTGATAGCTGGGTTCCAAACCACAGAGCAAGAACAGCAGAAGAGATGTTCTGCTTTGGCAGGGGATAGTGAAACATGTACACACAAAAGAAAAAGCTATTGATAATAACTCACAGCTCCACTGGTGGAAATCTCAGCTTGATGGGGAACAGCTTTTATTTTTAATGCTAGGCCTGGCCAGGCCAAGACAGCTGAAGCTTTGTCAGCAAGAAGAGTGTAGTTTACAGCTTACAGAACTGTGCTGGCACAGCTCACTAGTGGAGACTTCCCATTGCAGCACTTCACCCTGAGCAGCATCTCAAGATCTTTTTTACTATGCAGCTGGTCAAACGCTGGAAGAGGTTGCCCAGAGAGGCTGGGGAATCTCCTCTGGAGATACTTAAACCTCTCCTGGCCACTCGTCCTGAGCAACTTGCTCTAGTTGGCTCTGCTCCGAGGGGAGCCATGGGCTGGATCTGCAGAGGTCCTGACCAAACCCACCTGTGCTGTGACTCCATATTCCCTGCTGCCACTGCCTGGTGGGAAAAGCAATTGCATCCCACCCCATCCCGCTGCTTGGCCAAAAGCTGGAACACCTTTACTGAGCCAAAGCAGGCAGTTCCAGAGGTCAGAGAGGTGATCATGGAGGCGGTGAAAGGTGGATCCCCCACAGCAAGCAGTATCCCTGGCAAAGTTCATTCCAAAGCACAAAGCTGCTCAGCAAAACAGGAGTAAGAATTTAACATGGGTAGTAAGAGTACTTCTCCAGCCTTAGTGGGACAGGGAACCTGAATCAGTGATTTACCATGGAAAGTTTTAATCCAGAAAATTAAAGCTTGGTAAAATTATATGTATCTGAAAACAGCAGCTTATAAAGGAGACTATCAGGTAACTATAGGCTTAGATATCTAAAGGAAAATAAGGAGAGCTGGTTGCTGCAAACTTTGCAGACAGCTGAGAAATCATAACCCAGAAAGGAATGGGAGCGCTGCCTTCTGTTAAGCATTTTGCTTAACAAGGCAACATAAGAAGAGAGTCATCAGGTTTAAGACCAGAGGGACCATTAGATCATCTCCAGTAACCTCCTCTCTAACAAAGGCCATTACTTTCTACCCGTTTCCCCTGTCCTTTGCCGAGTAACTGCCCATTAGCCTGATGAAAGCATCCATTCCAGAAACATATCCAGCCTTGACAGGATGACATAAGGGAACAGAGAATCCCCACCTTCATTCTTGTGGGTGATTAATCTCTGTGTTAAGCACATTTGCCTCGTTGCAACCTAGTTCAGACTATTTGCTTCCACTAGTGACTATAAAGCCATTTGCTAGCCTGTATTTTATGGCCATGAAGGCATGTAAAACAAGTCAATCTCATCCCTAGCAAGCTAAGTCAGTTTCATACAGACTAAACTATACCCTTTGCTGATTGATGTTTTCTCCAACTCTTCTCTGTAACCTTTGGGTTCACTACATGGACCTGACTGATGCGTGGGGAGCTCTGTAACATCTGCACAAAGAAATGAGACCCACAGTGGCACTTGGACCTTTTACAACAGTTCTTCATTCTCTGGGTATTTCCTGCACTCTTCTTGTTTTCAGGGGCACAGCAAGCACCTATTTTCTTCCAAACTGAGCTATGCTACAAAGATTTGGCTCCCCATACCTTTGGGCTGAATCAGTAGGGCTATACCCAGAGAACATAAGGGAAGTGATGTTCTCCTTAGTGGTACTGAAGGTTTTTAAATAAAACTAGATCTGTACATGAGAACAAAAGTAGATTTTGGAACATTACTAAGTTTAAGGGGAATAAAACACTAGTCAGATTAAACGAATATTTGCAGACTGTCTCAGGCACAAGTGACTTGTGATGGGATTATCCCAACAGGAAATCAATGTTGTAAAAAAAAGATTATTAAACATGGTGCGCTCAGCCCACAGGAACCGATTTTCTTTTCATCGTGTACTAACAGCAGCAAAGTTGACTTTAATCTTAATTTACATATAAATTAATATTATTTGAAGTGCTGACTTTGGTCTAGGGTGTTCACTCAGTGGAAGTATTTTGGGGAAGGCTTACCTAGTGTTTGTTTTAGGGTTTAAACTGATGGATGCTCTCAGTATTTACCTGAGATGTGGGTAGGGTGGTACTTGGAGCACAGTGGGACTGCCTGGCACACATACTGCTGTCCCCTGGAGGGAAGGAGTTTCTGCTTCTGAGCATACAGGAAACAAGCCTATAATCAGCTACATGGCCTCCAGAAGAGCCTGCCACATGCAGCAGCACAGCACACACATCTCTGAAATCTGATTTCCTACTCGGGACCCCCTTTTTCTGTCCTCTCTTGTCTCCTCCTTGTAACCACCCTGATTTCTGATGTGCTGAGGACTGATCTATAGCAGATGAGAAGAATTTCCCTCCTAAGCAACAAGGCAAATGCATTACTCCAAACGGGATTCAGTCACAGGTGAGCTGAGATACTGCTTTTCTTACCTGCCCAAGTTCTTGGTGTCTGGGCTGACCAGGTACATAAGGTTCCTGAGCGTATGCAGTGGGTGCAACAGATCTAAATTTACATGCTACCATGTGGAAGGTAAGAAAGAGACATGGTCAGTTACAATGGGAAACCTGCAGGCACAGCTGATCTTTCAAAAGCTATTTAGAGAATCCCAATGGGCATTTCCCCTACCTGAGAGAAGCAAAGGTGCAGGATATTAGCATTCAACTTCTTCACTGCCCGTGTGAACCTGTGTCTGCTGAGATTCTCTCCACAGAACTCACTATTGAAAGACCATACACACGTATACATGAATAGACAGAAAGCACAATGCTGTGAAAATACACTCTCTGGAGACATCAGCATTCTGTGTCCTGACTTCCTAATAAACCCCAGAGTAAACACACTCAAAGTGAGCACTTGTTTAAACTGTACAGCCAGTTTGAGAGTGTTTAGGAGGTTATTTTTTCAGCTAGCAAGACTGTTAGCATTTCATCAACCAGCACTGCTTGTGATAGTCTCATCCACTTCAACAGGACAGGCGTATGAAACTCAAAGACCCACTGTAGCCAAGCTATTCTGGCTCTCCTTTTAAATCCTGCATCATTTCCTGTTCCCAAGCTTTTCCTTCTGTGAAGGCTCAGCTCCCAAGTAACAGTATAAACTCCCCACACAGAGACCCTACACAACTTTTGTGCCCTCAATTTGGCAATCACTATATTAAACACTTAAAAGAATCTCAGCAGCATCTTTGAGATCCCAGAAAGACTGAACAGGTCTACAGCTCCCTCAGTACTTCTGTACAGACTCCATCTATTCCACATTGACATTAAAAATCTAACAGTGCTTTTCATCATGGGATTTACACAACACTCTCCCAGCTGTCTGGCAGCCAGCTATGCTCCCCATTGGCATTTTATCCCCAAAAGAATCACACTGCTACCACGTCATTATAAAGCCTTGTTCTGCAGCACTTAATGTAGTGGAGCTATTCAATATGACTAAGGGTTGCTGAATTGGTCTGGGATTTTGTAAAGCACAGTAGGGTCTCATAAAATCAAAGTGCTATTCATGGATGTCATATTTCATTTCCAGTTTGAGGATGCTGAATATGTCAATTAGAAAGCTATTATTTTCAACTATGGTGGCTGGTCTACACTCTCAGGAGGTAAAAAAGGAAGGAGGCACTGTGGACTGTGGTCTAAAACCCTACTAGTCCTCCACTCCAAATTAAACAGCACAAAAATCCACGAGATATCAACTGGTACCACAAAGCTGTTCCAAGCAATGACTTTGTTCCCAAACCCAAACAGAATTAAGATCAGTCAAAACTAGTCACTGATTCACCTCAGAGGCTTGCATTTACTTGCCTGTTGCAGAGCTTCTTGGGAAGATTTACATCAAGTATGAGAGACAAAGTGTTAACAAGCTGAGTTGCATAGCACAATGCAGCACTGATAGTGTAAGCAGGGTTATTATGTTCCGTATCTGAAAGAAATAAAAGCATCATGAAAGTCTCATTTCAAATGAAGCCTCAGTGGATGTGTCAATCTGTTACTGAAGTCTACTCTGGAAAATGTCATTTGTGAGTATTGTGAATAGCCTGAATTCAACAATTATTTACAGTGACATCTGTCAGAAGTTGGTAGAAAATAGTAATTCTTGGGATTCCTGTTAAAATGACGGCATGTGAACCATGTCAAAACTGTGAATAATTAACTTTATCTATTACACTGTGCTGTGTCCCAGTGAGCATTTCCTGCAAAAGAGGATTTCAGTGGACTAATCCTTATACTGGTGTTTATTTCTGATTCAGGTTTGTCTGGGTGAGAACAAAAGGGCTGGGCTACTGCTCCTCAGTTGCCTTCTGCTGGCATCCAAGGCTGCAAGTTCTATAGCTTCTGGAGTATCCCAGATGTCTAATCAGACCTTGCTCCTTACCCGGTCCTTGTGTAGTCTTCTTCTCTTCCACCCAGTTGTAATATGCTGAATAGTCTCCATTATTAGGAAGGGTTATCCAAGGCCCTGTGATGCTGATGCTGGTGTCCCCGTTGTGATCATCACACACCCACCTCCCAGAGAGATATGTGGTTCTCCTGGCTTCTGCAAGCTTGCTCACAGTGCTAGAGGTCATAGCATTGTCGCTCTCAGAAGACACATCTGCAGGATCTCTGTAACACCCAAAGAGGAACGAAGTGTTTTTAAAGAAGTGTTAAAAATACAGTCAGAGATACACTTGGCAGGCACTTCACCAGATTTCACAGAGAGCAAAATCTTCTAGAAACACTCCTGCAAAATTCCTCATTCCCAAAACTACTTCCCTTTGTTCCAGGATTTTTTATTTTACTTACCTATTTTATCTATTTTAAGAAAGTTTACAAATTTATCTATTTTAAGAAAGTTTAACATTGGACACATTCCTCAGCTCTCTTCTGGGGGAGATGCTAGCACCTCCAGATTCTTCTCCTCTGGACCTCTGTTTTTTGGGTCAGATGCTTTGCCTTTGGGAAACACCTCCTCCTCCCCACAGATGCTAAGGGAGCCAGAGTGTCTAGCTTAGACTTACATGACTCACTTCTGGGTGTCTAAAGCTAAGTCAAATTAATCCAAAAGGATAAACCTACTATACCTCATGCTTGTCTTTACTTCTTCAATGGGAAATATGACTGATGTTAGTTCTAGGATATGCATCCGACGAAGATTTGCCAGATGCTCATACTGGGTTTTCAAGTCATAGACTTTTTTCTCTACCAAGTCTCCCAGCTTGTGGTTATGCCTCTGGATCTTCTCTTTCTTCTCCTGATGCCGCTGAGCCCTGCGATAATGTTTCTGGTTCTCCTCTTTAATTCTGAGAAGCCCCTCTGCATCTGTGAAAACGGCAGGAGATGTTAGCCTTGAGAAAGGAACTATGAGGTACTTGTAGTAAGCCTGAGAAAAGCATTAATATTCATAGCAAACAAGATCTAGAACAGCTTAAAGCAGAAAACCCTGCTAAACTATTCACGTTTTCCAGCTGCTCCGTGGTACAACTTTTTAATCTTTTCTGAAGATCTCCAGAGAGACTGAAATTGGGACTATTCTTTCCCTATCTTTTACCCAGCTATTTTTTGATTTAGAGCAGAAAAGCCAAAATCTCACAGTTTAATTAAACTTCTGAGGTAATCATCACAACAGAAATAGCTTGACTGTACATGTTTGCATGGTGTTGGCCAAAAAGACAGGCATTGCTTGCAGCCAAAATCAAGAGCTGATAGCATCTTCATTCACCATTTCTGGCATCACTGCTGCTATTAATGAATGGTGTTTGGGCTTAGCATTCATGTGTGTGCTCTTAAAGCACTTGGATCCCAATGATGCAGACTTTGTGTTACCACAAGGGAACACTGACTGTCTCCCTTTCCAGTCACAAAATGAGAAATCAAAGAATCACAGAATGGTTTGGGTTGGAAGGGACCTCAAAACTCATCCAGTTCCAACCCCCCTGTCATGGGCAGGGGCACCTCCCACTAGAGCAGGCTGCTCCAAGCCCTGTCCAACCTGGCCTTGAGCACTGCCAGGCATGGGGCAACCACAGCTTCTCTGGGCAACCTGTGCCAGTGCCTCAGCACCCTCACAGGGAAGAGCTTCTTCCTGATGTCTAATCTAAATCTCCCCTCTGTCAGTTTAAAGCCATTGCCTCTTGTCCTATTCCTACAGGCCCTTACAAAAAGTCCCTCTCCAGCTTTCTTGTCAGTCCCTTTAGGTACTGGAACTTGCTCTAAGATCTCCCTGAAGCCTTCTCCAGGAATGAGTTTATGTACTGTACAGTTCTGCAACTGCATGAATTTACTCCATGCGCCAGACACACTATAGCTTAGAAAAATATCCTTCAAGAGCACCTGCTTATTCTCCTATACAATAACTGACTGCAGTAATGCTTCCACAAACATGAGGTGCTAGAGTCAGCCACCTCTGTCCTTCAAAGGCGCACAAAAATATTCCCCAAATACATGCCTAAAACTCTTAGTGTCAAAACCCTAGTTTGAACAAAAGCCCCCATCTGCTAGGTGCTCACTTCCTGGTGTTATGGCTGAAAAGACATAGTGTTAGTCAGATTCTATCAGAGCAAGGCATTATTTTCTTTTAATCAAGAAGTGGGATAACTGTTCCTTGCACAGGATAGAAGCACTAAGCCCTGACATCGTTTTACTGATCTAGGTTGATTGCAAGGCACAGATGAGATGAGAGTTACAGTAAGAATTCTCTGTGGCACCTGCTACTCAAAAAAGCTGCATTCTATTATTACTAAAATCTACAAAAGTTCTAAGCAGCTATAGTTATCTCAAACAACACAGTCTGTCAGTCTTCCCACTAGGGGAGGAATAAAAGGCTACATCCAAAGACCAAGACCCAAGACTGATTCCCATCCACAGGTCTGTGCCCAGCCATGCTCAGGTGGCACACGATAGCCTTCTGTTAGTCCTGGTTTGCACCTGCAGAGCTGGAACTGGTTGGTCCCTTGCCTAATAGGGTGGGAGACCAGGATTGCTGGAAGCCTCCTGAGTATGCTTGCCCTTGCAGACACAGAGGGTGCTTTCTCTGAACGTCAGGAATTATTTGTAGTCATCTAACTGATCTGTTGCCATCCGTGATGTGTGCTTGGTAAGAAGAAAGATCTGACATGTGGGAGATGCAGAGTCCCAAATTAAAGGAGGTGAGAACAGCTTCTCTGTGCAGATAAGAACTAATAATCCTTAGGTTTATAAAATAAATGACCTCCTGTTAGAGGAATGTCGTGGTTTAAACCCAGTCAGGCAGCTCGTTAACTCACTTTCCCCCCTTCTTTCCCTCCCCCTACTCCCAGAGGGATGGAGAGGAGAATCAAAAAGAATGCAACTCCCACGGGTTGAGATAAGAACAGTTTAGTAACTAAGGTATAACACAAATCACTACTGCTACCACCAATAATAACAATGATAAAGGAAATAACAAGGGAAGAGAATACAACACCTCACCACCAGCCGACTGATAACTCTCCCCCCACCTCAGCCCAACCAAGCACCGACCGATACCTCCTGAACCCTGCAGACTCCCAGCCCTTCCGGCCAACTCCCAGTTACATCCTGGGCATGATGTGCTGTGGTATGGAATACCTCTTTGGTCAGTTTGGGTCAGGTGTCCTGTCTCTGCTTCCTCCTGGCTTCCCCTCCTCCCTGGCAGAGCAGGAGGCTCACAAAGTCCTTGGCCAGACTAAAACGATCAGTGTTATCAGCTCTGTTCCCAGGCCGAAAGTCAAAACACAGCACTGCACCAGCTACTAAGACGGAGAAAAATGACTGCTACCGCTGAACCCAGGACAAGGAACCATAGAAAAATCAACTTTTCTTTGAGTGACACCAAGAATCCCTATATGCCAGCTAGTTATTCAGCCTTCATTAAGTATTCCCGTAACATTAATAGAAAATCAGTTAATGCTTGCATTCATACTCCCAAACTCCCCCTTTGCATAAAGAATAAGAGACAGAAGAAGAGTAAAATGTCCATCTGCTCAATTTTCACATTCCTGTTCATAGAGTGAACTCCCTTTTCTGCAGGTCCAACAGCAATTATTTGAGAAGCAGGCGAGAACACTGCACACACACTTCCTCTTTAGTAGTCCCAGGGCAGAAACAACTGTCCTTTTTTTGGCATAGCACTTTTCCTTTTTGATCCAGTTAATGAGGCGATTAAAATTTGTCCCCAGAAGTATTTCAGGACACCTCTATGTCCCACACATCTACACTGGCTGATGAATGCAAGCTTGGCCACACCGCCATCTGCCCAACAGAGCACTCTGCCAGGTATGTGCAAGATCGTCACCTTGAACTCTTCTCCACAGACAGAAGGCAAACGCATGTATTTTAAAACCTTACTTGAAGAAGTACCACTTATAGAAGTGTCCAGAAGAGACAACTCAAAAGCAGGAATCCAGGGTACTAGAGATGGTTCTTATTTCAGGTAACTAAACTATGCCGTACCCAATAGAAGAGAAGCAACCTATTTACATTTTCTAATGTCCTCAAGAGTGAACCAAGTTGGGTTTCTGAACTCCACTTCCCAGTTAGTCCCAAAGATTTACCAGCTGCAGAGCTGCATTTTGATAACAGGTGACTAAGGTCCTTGAAGTCACATTGACTTCCTCCTTTCTTCACAGGGTAATGAGAAAAAGTAGTTTATTGACTTCATAATATTCTTCAATGTACTGAAAAGCTTGCTTCTGTTCACCTTCCTATTCTCTAAACCAAATTTTCCTAGATGTTCCTTGTGTTTTATTCCTAATATGCTCCTCCAGACTTTCTCCAGTTGATTTTCAACTTCCTTAAATAGCTCAAATTGGACACCAGACCCCCACTGAGGAAACACCAATGCTGGGAACAGCAGGAAAACTACTTCTACCTAAAATACAACACTTAGGCTAGGATAACCCAGAATGAGGTCTGAACCTTTCTAAAGCAGTATTAGATTGATAATTTTTATTTAAATTGTAATTCATAGAATCATAGAATAGTTAGGGTTGGAAAGGACCTTAAGATCACCCAGTTCCAACCCCCCTGACATGGGCAGGGACACCTCACACTAAACCATGTCACCCAAGGCTCTGTCCGACCTGGCCTTGAACACTGCCAGGGATGGAACATTCACAGCTTCCCTGGGCAACCCATTCCAGTGCCTCACCACCCTAACAGGAAAGAACTTTCTCCTTACATCCAGTCTAAACTTCCCCTGCTTAAATTTTAACCTGTTACCCTTTGTTCTACCACTACAGTCCCTAATGAAGAGTCCCTCCCCAGCATCCCTATAGGCCCCCTTCCTATAATTCCCCTGATCCTCTCCTGTCAAATCTCACCACTGTCCCCTGCTTTGTGTTTGTATGTTTGTCTTTCCTAAACAATGTGCAGTTGACTTTGTCCTTCTCAGATGACACTGTCAAGTTATCTGCATGACTTTGAATTTGATCCTGTTTTCCACAGGAGCCGTATCATCATCCACCTTGGCTTCCTCCATTCTACCTTCTATTCTACCATACAAGATATTATGGAAAATATTGAACAAAAATGGGCCAAGAACCAGCTCCTGCTGAGCTCCACCTGTCTCACCTCCTCAGTTTGACAAGTATCATCACCCTCTGAATGCAGCCTTTCTGCCCTTTTGTGTCAATCTTACAGTGATTACACCCAGAGCAAATGTTTTTGCTTGCTCATGAGATGGTTTGGTGTAGTGCCCAAAGGCAAGGCATGTTGCATCTTCTGCTTTATCCTTCACGTGATCCTCAGACAAGGGGTTGATTTGACATGGACCATTCTTAACAAAGCAATGCCTATTTTTAATTACATTACCTTCTAGCTACTTGCAAAGTGACCAAAGGTTTATAATAGCATGACTGTATCACCAGTTTAAGGTTCTCCCTTCCTCCACCCTTTGAAAACTGATACTGTTTTCACTCGGTTTCCTGGGACATGCTCTGTCCCATGTGTTCTCAAGTCCTCCACAGACAACTACAGCTTGTTCCTTAAGTTCCCTAAGGAAAATCTCATAAGGCCTTGCTGCCATAAAACAATATTTAGCTGTCTGTTTTCTTTCCTCAGTGTGCAGTTCTCCTATGATGTAAAATTTAACCTGGCTGAGCAGCTGATCACATTTCTTTGTGAGAAGATGAAGCAAAAAAGATAATGAATGCTTCAGACTTCTCTGCACTGTTATTTGCTGTCTTTCCAGTTAACTAACAGACTTATCTACTTCATCTTTTTCTTATTTTACATTTCTTATTGTTACTATCCATCCTCATTAATTGAAACCATTTTGCATCTCAGCCTTTTTGATGTTATCATCACATGCTTGTGCTATTCCTTTATAACTATTGTCAAGTATATGCCTCTGCTTTCACTCTCTCTATGGCTCATTTTGAATTTCAAGTCATAAAAACATTCCTGATTCAATCAATATGCTTTTGAATATGTTTCCTATATTTCCTTTGCACGTAGGCTGTAAAGAGTGCTGCACATTCTCTTCCGAAAAATGGTCCTACAAATCTCTCATGAGCAAAAAATCTAATGAGTTTCAAAACAGAAGCTGCTGACAGAGAGCAACTCCCCAGCCTATGCCATATTTCAATGGCTCTTGCTCTAGTAGGATTTTAGCATTTCTAGACAGGTGTGGGTTAAAATTCATCAGTACATGAAATTCCTAACAGCTGCAGAGCCATTTGCCTCCTCTTTATCAAGAGGAAGTGATCAGGAACACCACACTAAATAAAGCCATCTCTAGGGACAAAGCCAAAGTCACAGGCTGCTAAGCATTTACTTTTAAAACTGTTGCAAAATGATTGCCATCCAGCTGAATAATGTCTACTGTTTGCTAATTAAAACCCAAGCATGAAAAGGCTAAAATCCACTCACCGATTTGCCTTCAAGTTGATTTAAGAAGTGACTGTTTGAAAATTCATCATTTTTAAAACCTTAAGATTCAAATTCACATCAACTGATTTTTCACTCTAAGGCACACAGTTTCCCACATTGCAAAAGCACAGGCATTACTCACATCTTGTCATTTCATCATTTTCTTTGCAAATGGTCTGTTTCAGCTGCTCAATCCTCATCTTGCAAGACATTATTTTCCATCTCTGAAAAAGAACATTCAGCAACTCTAGGGTAGAAAAGACTTCAAACACACTGACTAATGATTAACAACAAAACCAGCAGCTCTAGTGCAAAAGTAGCAAGATGTTCTTAATTGATCATATGAACAAATAAATATTTCATATGCTGTTTTGTGCACAGAAGAATGCCACAAACAAACTGAATGCTGAGTATAAAGTCAATCAGAATAAGTTATTGAACAAATATCTGATAAGAAACGAAAAGAGCTCGGAGCACTCTGCTTGCAGAGCCAATTTCAGTTGTGCTTACAACAAGATTTTTGGGAAAGCAACACAATACCCTCAAGGTAAATTGTAACTTTAAACTATGAGATCTAGGAATTCAGAGAGTTTAAAAACTATGGGTCACTTTGAATAACTCACCAGCTGATCAGTTATCTCTTTCCCTTCCATGGCCTTCAAAACACTAGAGGAAAAAACATGATTGAAAGTTTTATGACTATCTGGACTGGGTCTGTCTCCAGCAACAGCACATTAGAGAAACTGTTTTGTTTTTCTGACAGTTCTTATAGCTTATTTTCATTTAATAACTACAACTTACTGCTTTTGGAATTCTTTCTGTTTGGTTTTAAGACGCATCAGCCTTTCTTTCTTGTCTGAAAACCTAGAAGAGATTAAAGGGTTTAATTGGTATTTTCACAATATGGCATTGCAAGTTGTCTGAAAAGCGAAAAAGACCAAAGCTTGTGACAGACAGCCTCTAAACTGCAGCTTTCTGGCTTAGTCTTAGGAAATAATGGCTAAATGTATAAAACTCGCAGAATTCTACAGCACGTCTCATTGGAATTGCAACAGAACCTCCAAGCTGAGGAAACATCAGCTTGTTGTGTTAGCAAACTTGTAAGCAAATTGCTTACTATTTCTAGAAGATTTACAGCTTAGTAATGTCAATTGTCTGTGGAATAAGAAAAATATATAGTATCCTAAAAACTTTTAGTCACTGGAGAAATTAACAATACTATTTCAGATACCATAGTGAGTCTGAACTGCGCTACTTCACAAGCTGTGATGGCATCAGCTGAGTCCACTCCGGTAGTGGGAAATGCAGGTTTTCATACACTATGCACTGCATTTTCTCCCTTCTAACATGGAAGGGTCTTGCACTTTATTCATTAATGATTCCAAATAGGACAGCACTCAAGACTTTTACATGACATCCAAATCTTTGTTGTTTTAGTAACAGCGATGAGTTCAATTGTCTTATACTAAACACCTGTAGCTATCACGAGACCATAACCCAAATGTCTGTGTGAGTTCTGCTTCACCAGATAGACGTCTGAGGTATGAAAACTGCAAAATACAGATCAGAAGGGAATTTTTTCAGGATTCATCATCCTGTGTTTTCACCCTTTGAATACGCAGCAGCTGCCATGCTCTGCTCTCCTCCATGTTCCACAATGTATTGAGAAATACACTTAAAGAAAATACGAACAATGTACATTGAGAAATTACAATAAAGCATGAAGCGACAAAGCTAACAGTAAGAGCAAGCCAGACAGCCAAGAGATTTGGGCAACATAAGAAATAGCAAATGTGCTTTGTCTTCTGCCAGCGTATGGCTTCCCAGCTTTCCTTTGTCCTTGCAATGTTACAGCGCTGTCCTAATCCATGCCTCAGAAGTGTGTATTGGGTTATATCACTGTGGAAAAACAACTGATTTCCCTCTGCAACATGTAGAGTTGACAATTTCACCCTAACAGTGGTCAAACATTTTACCTACCAATCCACCAAGTCCTTTATTTCACAGGTATCTAATCTTTGTTCAGAAAGAATTATACAGTAAGCCTTGACAGGATGACATATTGGGCCTCCATCTCTGCTCGACTCTGTGGGTGTCATTTCAGGTAAAACTTGAAAATGCTTCATTTTTTTCCTTGAAGTGCTTAAGTCTGAAAGCCTGGTGACTAACTTTGGGTTCAGAAAGAAGGTAATCACCCTTCCATGTGCATTAAAACAACAACAGAACTACTGGCTGTTGTCTCATAGACAAGCAAAAATATGTTTTCCTTCCAAAACAAGCCAAATACAAATGAAGGTGGCTTGGCATAAAAGCCAGAGGCCACGCGTGAGCTGGAGGAATGTGGTACAACTGGAGTCTGGCTGCTCAACCCAGCGCGTGTTCCTTCTTCCTGTGTGTCCTCACCCACCAGTCATCATGGAAATTAGAAAAGTGCACTGTACGAGACTCCTGTTTACCACAGAGCAATGCACACCTACTGTACCCCGACCTTTGGCTGCAACCAAAAATAACTTGGCGCAGAAACACATCACTCGGCAGTCACACAGGGAGAGCGCACTGGGGTAATCTGGCAATTCTTCTCAAAGCTGGATTAATGGGCACAGAGTCTAACTAAATGCAATTACCCAAATCACGTCCATCACATCAGCAAAAAGTTGAATGATCTGTCAAGAATCTGGGACTAAATTAAGTTCTTACTGCTGAGGGAAGACAGAAATATTTGTGAGAGCCTGCAAAAATTGCAGCTCACCACGCACTTCAGCAATTGCGTCAAACAGCTCCTACAAACTCCTGCAGCAGGTTTCTCCTGAGCAAACATTTCCATTTCTTTATATAGCTCCAACATTAATTGCACTGCATCGTGTAACTGATTTTTCTCTATATATCTACAGCCTTTTGATTTGGCAGAGAAACAAAACTTTAGATGAATTATTATAGGAACTTCCATAAAATGTAAACTGAGAGGAGAAAACTCAACATCTCAAATTATTCATTAAATGTCTCTTTTTCCTCACGTCTTACCATATTAAGCTGAGATTTTTCTGCGGTCACCTGCCTTATTCCCACATGCTCATAGTTAGAGAGAAACAATCAGAGGAAGGCCTTCCTAATCTACAGGAACTGATTAATGCGGAAGGAGCTGAGGACAGCAACAGGTACCCCCACTACTGTACCTATTCACTATAATAAAACTCCATCACTGCAAAAAGTCACTATTCCTGATTATAAGCCACAGCTTAAAGAAGTCAGACAGGCTTAGACATCACAATTACATTGTCTTTGGCTTTTGCCATCTGCAGATGCAGGAGACAAAGCAATTCAGTACGCCTGTAAAACACACTGATAATTTCTGCATATGACAGGCTGGAGTAAACTCCCGGGAGGAAGAAGAGTCTCTGAGCTGAAACCAACATCAAGATACCGGCTTAGCTTTTGAATATACCATGCATTACTAATGAAAAGAAGAATGTCAGTGATGTTTTTACTGGGCGACTTCCGGACAACTCATCCTTAATTATAGCTGTACTTCAATAATTAACCTTAACAGCTCCTCAATCTCTCTCCCTCACAGATACAGGGTGTGATTTTTCCAAACATATGAACTTCAATCTTACTGTTGCTTTTATAAAAGTCCACACACAAAACAGCCCAATGCAAAGAAATCTGAAATAATTCTTACAGTTAGAACATGAAATCATTCATTATCTTCTACAGAAAAATCACAAGAAAATTGTAAATAAAAAACACCATTGGACACAAGAAGTAACACTTGCTTTCTTTCTGCAGGAGGGAACAATCCTTCCCCCTGTCTGTTACACATCAAAAAGACAAATGGGAGGCCCAAGTGACCCCATACACTTCCACATTCTGAATTTCTCGCACGGCGCTAATAACTGAGCCACACCAAAAGCCCTTGTCATGACCCTGTCGGCCTCCTCCAGTGCCGGCCATAATGTTGATCTAAAATTAGCCCAGGTACTACTAGAAGGCATAAAACAAACAAACAAGGATGACAGTAAACACATTCCGAAATCCAGCCAGTTAAGTGCACCTGTCCCTGCATGACTTTGGCATGGTGTGTGGCCACCGTTTCAAAAGTCACTGCCTCCCTCTGTGCTCCCATTGCAAGAGATTCATAGACATCCACTCACTGCATAGAAACACAGAAAACTGACCTCTGAAGTGACAAGTTCCTTCTCACTTTTGTATCTGCCATTTGAAGTATTAAGCATAGAACACAGAAAAAACATTGTTTTAAACAAAATTCCATTATCTTCAAAAGAACAAGAAGAAGCCCAAACTTTACAGAGCTTTGTTCCTACACTTTCCTGCTGCAATCAAGTGGTCTTATGTTACGTACTTTGTGTTACTCGTATATCTGACGTTGTTTCTTTACTTCATTAATACGAGGTTGCCATTTTCAGTAAATTGTGCTACTGCTTGGGTAAGTTCTGAGCAGCTGGAGAGGCAAAGCCTGGGGAAATTGAGCATATAGGGAGTCCCCAGGAGAACAGAACAGCAGTGATCCCCACAGATGGAACCACAATGTCCAGGCAGAGGGGGAAAAAAAAGACATACAGAAAAAAAAAAAAAAAAAGACAGACACTTACTTGCTGCAGTTAAGAATCACAGTGTAAATATACAGATTTTCTAGCCACAGATGAATAGGACAGTCAAAACACCTTAGGAGGATGGAGTGAAAACTGTCAGACAGAAAAACTGATCTTGTTTCATGTGAGAAGATACAAGGAAGTCAGAGAGAGGGTTTGTTTTTTTCCCTAACAAGCTGTTGCTTCTGGTACTTTGGCTAAGACTGTTGCTTTATGTTTTTTCTGATGTGCACAGAAACTTCCTAAGCCTTGGTTAATACATAACTACAGTGCTTCTCCTGTAATGAAGGCTACAGCTGAATTTCTATATTTAAGCCTGATATTTAGCCAAAATCTTAAGTCTACAAAATGGGCAGGAATATAAGAGTTGGTTTATACTCCAACTTCCAAATCCCAATTTTTCGTGGAAGCTACAGATTACCCTGAGCAGTCTCACACAAACACAGGTTTTCCATCTATTTTAGAATGACTAAATACAGTTTGTGGTTCCATGACACAGTTTTTTCACATTAAAAAAAAAGAAAGAAGCAAGCCCATCCAGTGGCAGACTAAGGTCTCAATTTTGCAAGCTGATTCATGCTGGCTGACACCCTATGCCCACTCCCACTGATATTCACGGCAGAAAAAACACCACCGTCCCAGTGGCTGTTTGTGTGCTTGGTAGGACACCAAGAGCCTTTGGTGCAAGGACCATACTGCACCACATGCTGCTTACTGCCTTCCCAAAATAGTTCAAGAAATCACTCTCAACAGCTGCTAATGAAGCTACAAATGAAGGACCAAGAACATTGAGTCAGCCAAAAAAACAGAGCTATTCTGGAGCCGCTGTGGGGCAGACTTTTTAAGAATCTGGGATGGCCACGCTGTGAACAACAGCTACAAAGGGGCAATCTGCATCTCAGTCATGAAATAACGATAGTTACTTAAAGATATGTGGCTCGTTCAGCGACCCTTCCATAGGGCCAATGCTCTACAAAAAGGTGCAGGAAGATGCGTGATTAATTGGTGGGATTTTTGTAATTTTAAAGAGGTGCCTACGATTAGGTCTGCTTATATAGAAATAAATAAAAGTGGCGTTTTCTCGCGTACCTTCCTGATTTCATTCAGTGTTTACAGAGACCACTGTTTTAACACATGCTGCTTAAAAAAGATATGCATTTCAGATATCCTACCGCACGGCTCTCTTTTTGCCCTGAACTGTCTGGAGCTTTTGTTGGCTACATCAACACGGGCACGCCTGCTGGCAGCAGCACCTGACTGAGTGAAAGCAGGGGCGCTGTATTACTAATTATTATTACTATTTTAAGCAAAACGCTGTGGGTGCTGCTCTGCCCGCTTGCCCAATCCCCCCTACCCCCACCCCCCCCCAAGCAGGCAGCCCGGCGGTGGGCCCGGCAGCGGCGGGCCCGTCCCCCGCCCCGGTGTTGCTGCTGAACAGCGGGGAAGGGGGATGAACCACCTTCTCCCCACCCCCCACCCCTCCAGCCCTGAGGGGAGCGGGGGAAGGGCAGCCCAAGTCAAGGCAGGGTGCTCCTTGCCCCAGCTCCGGCGACGGGGCAGGGGGGCAGAGAGAGGGTGTCCCGTTCCGCTGCCGTCCCCGTCCCCTGAGGGCCGCCAGTACCTCTCGGAGTCGCGACCGTCGAAGAAGACGAAGTCTCCGCTCTGGACGCACTTGGCGCACGTGAGGCGGCGGCGCGTGGTGTTGCAGAGCGGGCACCGCTCCACCGCCACATACAGCCCCTCCGCGTCCTCCTCGGCACCCCGCAGAGTCGCCGGCCCGGCCCCGACGCCGCCACCCTGCCCGCCGGGCTGCGGCCGGCAGCCGCTGGGAGCCGCCATGATGGGCTCCCCGCGCCTGGGTCACGTGGGACTTTGTGTGCGAACAGGGCATTGTGGGAAGCGGGCGCTTGGCTTCAGTGCTCGGGCCGGCCCCCTTCGACCCTAGCCCAGCGCCGGGCGGCGGTGAAAGGAAAGGGGGAGCAGTCCCAGCTTCAGCAGCACGCACTGGCACTGCGGGACCCCTGGCTGGCGGCAGCACCCGCTGGAAGAGGCAAGGCTGCCCCCTCCCTGCTCCCAGAGAGGGGGGACATGGTGGGTGAGCTGCGGTATACAGCGGGCAGGTCAGCCCGGCTCCACTGGGACTGGGAGGGAACTGTGCAAATCTGAGGTAAAACAGAAAAGAAAAAAGCTTGGAGAGCTTAAAGTTTACTGTTTAAAGCCTGCAGTAAGCAGCGTGGTTATATTCTGCTTCCTGCGGTGCTGGGTGCTCGCATGAACCTCAACAGGCACTGCAGGTCTGTAACCATTGCATGCCCCAGGAGGGGACATCTTCACTAGTTACCCTCACTGCAGTCTCGAGGGGGCCTCCTGCGCAACAGCCAGTCAGGAACACTGCTGCATGGGCTACGTAGAGCAGCCAGCCCCTATATGTTTATAATACCAACACTAATCTTTGTAAGAGGACAATTTGAGCAATAGAAGTGTCAAATCTTGATACACATCCTTAAGAGTGACAGACAAAGACTCTTCACCCCAGCCTAAAGGTTGGAGCCAGAATCAGGAGTTAAATAGATACAATCAACTACTATGTAGAAATAGCAAGTTCTTTCCATCAGAATATAGTGGGAAACACCAGGCAATTAGCAGAGACAACACAGAGTCCACAGAAGCCAGAATAACTTGAAGCAAAAAAAGAAACAAAACATGCCCCAGGTAAAATAAAATCCCAGTCTACACTGTTCCCATTCCTAGTGCACTGAAGTGCCAGAAAACACCAGAACAAAGACAGTTGTTTCTAAGAGTTACCAGAAGCAAACATTAACTTAATCAGTAACTCAGTGAAAAGGCACAGAGCTCATTTCTTATCTTTAAGACTGTATCTGTACTTTTAAAGAGCATTAACTTCACTAGTGAAATTATGTGGCAAGCTCTTAATTAAAATGTAATTTCTTGAAGAGGGGTCATCTTAGATAAACTTTTCCCAGCATGCCAATAAAAGCAGGGTTGTTTTTTCACTTGCAAAAGATTATTGTAACTTAACCTCATAAGCTATTACAGCTACAGGACAAATGAAACACCCATAGTTAAGGAAAGTCTGCAGTGTTAGAAAACAGAGAAGTAAGCCTCTGTTTAGAGTAGATTTGAGTGTGGAAAGCCACAGTTTGACTGTGACAAAGAAACTGGTAACAGTTAAGATCAGTTTATCATAAGGAAGTGCATGAAGTTTCCCAAACTTCTTTTCCAGAGGAGCAGAGACACAGTTAGAAAAGCACTTGAAACATATTACAAAAACAGAAGTTGAAATCGTGTCTTCACTGAATCAGAAATAAACTTGTGACAGCAAAACTAAGCCCAACAAGACTGCAACACCCTGTCGTGTATTAAGCCGTTGCCCATATTGTGTATTTCCATAAAGGACAGACCAAGCTTTTGGCCTGGGTTACACTTAAATCATCTAACAGCAACCTCTAGTGGCGTTTCCTGACAGAGCTATCTCATCTTCAACAGGAAACAAGGGAAGGACACAAGACAAACTTAGAAGCACCAAAGCCCTGTCCCAGAAAACACAACCCTGCTTCCTGGGAAGCATGGAAGATACCAGAACAGTCAAGAGGTAGTCTTTGCAGTGCTCCTACTTTGCAGCGTTCCTGCTTGCGTCACCAGTCTGAGCATGACACCTTTTGCAAAGGAAGCTTTGCGTTTCTTGGAGAAAAAGCAAAGTACAAGAACCCCATTGTTTTACCTGAAAAATTACAAAATTTGATATAGTGCCACTGGTTAAAGTCTGTTAAATATCCCATATAACTGAGCATCCAAGCCTTTTTGTATTTTCCTCAAGACCATTTTAGAGGCAGTTCCCTAACCAACATGTTCTTGTCTGTCTCAAGCAAGAAACTCCCATCACCTGAGGGAACTTGAGCCATAACAAGTGGGTACCAATTTTGTTAAAAATCTAATTGTTGTGACAAATCAGATAATTTGTTTAGTTACATCACCCCCCACAGGCTTTTTAGGTATGTTCCAGCAGTCAGGGGCCTTGAACATTTTCTCTGTAAAAGGAGTACCAGCACCATTACACACAAGAGTGTATCCAACCAGCAGGATCAGAAGGATTTGGTATATGTCCTCTACAAGCCGTCTTCAAAACTCTGAAACCAGCTCATGCTGGATTTTGTAAGCTATATTGTAGATAAAATACATTTTTAGTTTAAATATGAAAATACAACATTGCAGGATCTAGGTTGCAGTACACTTAATGTTGAGGATTTTGATAAAGCTAGTTTGAAGCGCAGTGTTGTCTTAGCCGTTCAATGGCAGGAAAAGACACATGGTTCCTATTACAAAATACTTTTAAGTGCCACCTTAATATACATTCTATTCAAAGTACATTTATTTGTCAAATTTTTCAGCTTGTCAGAAGCTGTCAGAACACAAGTGGGTTACAGACAGCTAATCTGAAAGCAAAAAACTTGGCAATTTCAGAAACCATAGAAAGGCATCAGTATTTATAGCATTCAGAACAGTATTGTTTGCTTAATAATCCACAGCAGTACAGGTGGGTCCAGGAATACCCTTGCTTCTGTTCCATGCATAGTAAGACAAGCCCATGTATTATTCTTAGTTGCTTTGTGGACCATGTTATGGTTTCTTGAAACCTTTTAGAATGGGGTAGATGTTCTCAAATGCCTCATAGATTTCAGAACGCTCTTTTGCTCCTAAAAAGACATTTAGAGAAAAAAAAAACAAACACAACCCAAGAATTAACAGAGTTAAGAATAACTGAATACAACTCAAACCTAACAAGATTACAAACCATGAAGAAACAGGAATTGAAAGTAACTTACTATTAGTTTGAGGCAGCATTTCCATCACACTTCCTCCACCTCAGAAAGAAGAATTTCTAGCTTGCTTTCTTTAAGACTAACCTTTTGTTTAATCTGTGAAACCAAACCAGTAGTTAGCTACTCTTGACAGGTGCAAAACATTGGCTTTGGGGGGGAAAAAAAAGGCATCTGAGAACCACCATGGTGTTATCTGCTTAACAGGGGCAGCTATGCCTGTCAATACGGTAGTGGGGAAAACAGACAAGAAATCAAGGATTTTTATTTTAATACTGGCAGTTGAGCCACACTTTGAGAACTCCCCATCTCCAGTTCTGAGAAGCTATTTTTAAGCTTTGTCAGGGCACCTGTGATTTCAAAGCTAGCCTTTTACCATGTTACTGCATGTAAATCTTTAATACCAAGTCTTGTACACTAACTGTATGCAGTAGGCAGGAATATTGCATACCACTGACACTACTCTTATCGTGTTAGTACAACATACATCAGCTACAAGAAAACTGCATTTAAATGAATTAGCAGTTAGATTAAATGCTGCTAAGGATGACTGTGCAAACCCTTCCCTCAGAACACACTTGGACATGACTAATTCACCTGCATTACTACAACCTTCTCTTCCAAAGTAAGGTTACTTTCAAGTTGCTTTCTCAATTAGGAAAAAGCACCTCTCCGCTCAAATTCAGTTCTCTCCTTAACAGTTGGGTCCAGTGTTCACAGACAGGGGCTTCTGGGCCCTTAATGCTTCTGGGCCTCCTGTACACTCACGGGTACTACAATTACTGTAAAAATAACTTGCAAAAATGCAAGTTATCTGTGGAATGGAACTGTCCAGTGTGATTTTACTGGACACAAGAAGGTGGGGGAACATTGGAGAAGCATTTAAGCTTAGTACAGAGTGCTCCATTTTCAGCTAACTTGTGATTTATGTTAGCGAGAATCTCTGGCTAAGGCAGGCACTTCCCTTTTGTCTTTCACATAACTCAAAGCATTCAGATCCTCTGGGGACAAGTACCATTTATATTTCAGTACATCAGAATAAAAGTATTTCACAAGCTTTGAATAAGGATGTGATAGGAACATGCACTTGAGAATTCAACAGTTTTTGACATAGGGTCTGAGGTACAGATATCTACTGAGCACGCTTACTCAGCAAGGCTTTTGCCTCATGAGTGTTTTGGCCAGACAGTCTGGAACAAGTTCTTAGATCTCCACCCTTTCCTCTAATAATCCTTCTAAATGTTTAAGTGAAGTGCTTTAAGAAGTTTGCTTCCTGTCCAAGTAATTTTAAATTGCTTATTGTGATATTCATATGGAAGCAACTGAGTAATTACTAGCATGTCATCATCCTGTTGGGATTCTGTACATTGACACATGGCATTATGCTATGAATAAAGATACTCAGATTTAATGACGGGGAAATCTGAGACAGTACGTGAAGCAGTATGAGCTTCTAGTGCAACAATACAGATATTGTTATCTGTGGAAAACACAGATAAGCAGCTGTAGGCGTTAAAATGATTGTCGAGTGGCTCTACTGTTACAAGATAGGCATTTAGCTAATGTTCAATTTAAATGCTCTCAGAAAATGTGGTGGCTCTTGATTACAGATATATAGAGGGAGACCACTTACCAGTCAGTACAACTTTTCCAGACACAAAGATAAGCAGCACTATCCTTGGTTTGACCATCCTATAAATAAGGCCAGGAAACAGTTCAGGTTCATAGCTGTTTCAAAACAAGGAGGTAAGATGAGTAAAATGCAAATACTGTTTCACTGTTGTACACATGAAGTGCTCTTTAATTATATTAGCAATAGAATAGTTAAACCTAGGTTTTGGCTAGCTACCCAGAGAAAGGCAGGTCAGGTTTTAGATATCTTTAAAAGAAACCCAGTCATCCCAGTTGGAGCTGATAGGAGTTCTTCATGCTTACTTTTAAAGACTTCTGAGCCACTTCTGAAAGTGATTTTTCCATAGCATTGAAAAGTTATTGTAGTCTTCAAATAGTACTCAAATCCTTCTTAGTCTGCAAAAAGTCCTTATCAGGAAGCATCTTGCACAGTAAAGAAGAGATGACAGCCAAGTCAATCTTTTATATTTAGTCCCCAAATTAAATGCAATGTACTAAATGCAGTGCTAATAAAAGGCAACTTTTATTTTGTCAGTGCTAAAATCATCTTTTCCTCAGTGATGGCAATAAGTAGTTCTTAACAAGCCCATCTTGAAGGCACAGCTTGTCTATCACTCATCTATGGGTTTACTTTAAACTGATGGCTAAGACACCCAGAGAAAGAGAACCTAAGTGATATTCCAGAAACACATGATATTTTCAGTGTATTCTGCAGCTGCAGTCTGGCTTCATACCTGAAGGTCAGAAACCTTATCTTTGCAGATAACTCCCTTCAAATCAGATGCCTAAGAGGCCATCTTTGTATTAAAGGTTCACAGTGGAGCAAAAACACAGACCAGGTTCAAGTAGCTTAAGAGCTGCTGCAATTAGACCTGAAGTGCTTAATCAAGACTGGTTATTTTCCTATTGACATGGTCTGCAGTGCAGACAAATACCCACTAAGGTTTGATATTGCACTTGGCAATAACAGGAGACTAGTAAAACTGTGATCACTGCTCAGGTTAATGAAAGTCTGGCAGATATAGCTGATATACAGCAACAGAGATAGTGTCAACAATATTCATGGTCAAAGAAAGCTTTTACAAAAAAGAGTATCTTCATTAACCAACTAAGCCAACAACCCAGGAGCTTCTTGCAGTTCTTCAGCCCTTCATCTGAACCAGATCTAACACACATCCAATTTACCTCAGAAGTGACTCAACACTAGTGTAGTATGCTCTCAGTTGCAAGGTTTCTAAAGCTGGTGTTTATGGTGTCCCTGCAGGGAAAAAGCAGTGAACCCAGAACAACCACACAGGAGGACAACCACACAGGAGGGCAATTTAGAAGAACACTTCCCTGTTCAATTGTGTCAGTCATAGTTTTAAGCACTGAAAGCTTTACTGCTAGCTGCTGTATGCCATCCTGGCAATTAAGCAGAGGGTCATTGTGGCTTGTGCCCCACTTGGAACAGGAATTACCGAAGAAAACTTTACTATCTTTATCATCACACATGGCATCTACAGCCATTTCATGCTTGCTGAACTGCTGAGCATTGTCTTTTAGTGAGTAAAAGGCATGCTTGATATTCAGTATCTGGTTAATTATTACTCTTTTTTTTTTGCCAGGCTTGTAAGTCTCAGAATTTGCATCTGTTTGGCAGCTTACAAAAGACACTGCTCCAAGTTGTAACTCTTACTTCCACATACCTGCTGAACTGCTGGTGAGTGAGAACCAAGCCTTCCAGCCGGATGGGAAACCTCACATCACAGCTCCCAACCATATTCTGTATCTTGAAGTCCAGGAACTTGGCAGGGAACCCAAGCTTCTGTACCACACGTGCATACTTCCTGGCTGCAAGACGTGATTGCTCTTCACTAAGGAAAGGGCAGAGGGGGAAAGCAGCTTTTATTAGTGTTTTCTTCTGCTCTCAAGATGGAAGTCAGTTTAGAGCCACCATCATGCTAATCTAAACTCCAGAAAAAAAAATATGCTCCTGCTCAAAATAGCATGCCTCTATCCCCTGAACCGCTTTGGTAAGCTAGAAGGAGTAAGGCACTTTGTCATTCACTTTCCTGTGGCCTATGTGAATACACTGCAGCATGCTGCATCATCCCAGAATTTCCTTCTTCAGAGGCCTCTTTCTCACTTCTTTACGCCAGCTTCTCAGAGCCGATCCAAGAGATAGACTGCAGGTACCAGCAGAATCATCTAGCTACTAGGGGTGGTGGCAGGGGTTGGAGAAGGGTCCTCCTAAGCTGTAAGTTAATGCATTGTCTCACTGACAGTTTAGGGATATAAAAAAATAAGGCAGCTGCTGAACTTGAGAACAGCCTCAGAGTACAGAAATAAGATGTGCTTTTCTCCAATCCCATTTTTTTCTCTAGAGGCAGATGTGTTGACCAGCGAACACAGACACCGAGGAGAGACTTGACAGACAAAAGTTACGTACTAACTCACTTTAAAGTTGGTGAGAAATGCAAATAGCCCCTTATCAGTTCCTGGGCTTTTAACAAATCTTTTAACAGCTTTTCTGCTGATGTCTGCTCAGCTCAATCTACATGCAAGGGCAGAAGTACACAGTTCAGTAATTACTAAGCTGCATCATGAAGAAAGCGAGACATTTTTCAATACCAGTGCTTCATTGTTTTCTGTGATTATGACAGCCCTTTGGTAGATAATTTAAACAAGGCTTTCTGACATTGTTCATCAGAAACAGGCAGAGCTGCAAGACCCAGGCCTTTAGAGGGAAGGAAAAACACAACACAAAAAAATACCTTTTTGCTCCTGTGCAGACCATTTTTCCTGAACTGAAGATGAGGGCTGTTGTTCGTGGCTCCCTGATTCTCATGATCACAGCAGCAAACCTCTACAAATTCAAAAGAAGACCTCACTGTCCAGCTAAGGGATTTGATTGGTACTGTATTTTGTATTTATTCTTCCAAGAATGGTCACTTTCAAAGCTCAGCACAGCATGCATTTAATTTGTGAGTCTTTGTTTACCACTGCAAAGTTATTTCCACACACCACCCCCACCACCCCCCCACCACCCCCCAGGACCTTAAAACTACAATCACAGGACTACTGCTTTGTCCCTTAGTTCTTGTTCAGCAGTGTGGAGTCACTTTTAGAAAGCCCATTATTCCTAGTGAAATTCTACAGTCTAGGCCACTTTCTGTAAGTATCATGTAATATCTGTTTCACTCCAGTAATTCTCTTTTCTTCAGCCAGGAGTTTCAGGGCAGATCTTTTGTCCCTCCCATTGAGGGCTGCTTGAGCCATTTCAGCTGGAGGTAGCTGGCCACATGTGGGAGAGTTCACCTCCCTTCTTAAAATACCTTAGTAACATCTCATTGCTGGGGATTTATTCAAATTAAAAACACGTATCATTGTGGTCCCCTGTATTTCTTTTCATTTAAGAGGCCCAAGTTGTAGATTCTTATGATTTTCCCCTGTGGGTCAAGACAGTGCTGTTAGAGTACACAGCTCATAATGAATTTGCATATTAGAATCCATCAGCACTGAGAAAGGTAAGCGAGTTCTTAATATTTACCTTTGGGTTATATTCTGCATTTCTGGCATGTAGAGCTATATTCTTCAGATCTAGTTTACAAGCCAAATTTACCGTCGACACTATATTCCTGAGAAATGAGAAGGGAATTTTCTTGTAAAAGCAAATCGCTGCAGAGCCAACTCCCAACACACTCCAATTAATAATTACCATGAACTAATTTTCTGCCTACCTATTCTCTACTCTAGCATTAAGCTACTTTTGGCAAAACTTAAGTAATTCAATACCAGAATTACAGTTTCTGAGATATAACAGGGTATGAAATTATTAGTCCCTGAATACTAAGTTCGTGTGTCTTCCAATAACTACAGCACTGAAGCCTTCTACAGCTTTAAATTGAACCATTACTGAGTATTTACAGAATTACTACAGCACTTAAATTAGTTAAAAGTATATTATTCTCTACAGGTATAAACTACTTCATAGTTGCTCTAGCCTAGACAGGACCTTTAAATGAGCCCAGAATTTCTCACACTTCTTTTCATGCCCCTTTCCTTTGCTCACTTCAGACTGTTTAGTGTTCTCAGAAAAACAGGCTGACATCTTTAAATCCCTAGAGTCTGCTGTCATCCTTAACATTCTCCTTGCTGGAATAAATCCTCCTTTTCAAGTATTTTTGTCTTTTCATCCTGCAGACTGAAATAACTAACAAAACATGCTATATATATAATTTCTACCAAACTGTTCTCCCTCTGAGACTTCAGCTTCTGTCTCCCAGAAGAGGCTTTTTCCACTTAACAAGCCAGAGGCATTTCAGATGCTCACTCAGCATATTTATCAAGTCCACTCTCCCATTTTGCTAAGCTGTGTACTGTTCCGCGCCACTTCCATTTTTGTGTTGCACTGATCAGCACAGTATTCAGTTACCTTCTAATATTGTCAGTTTATTTGCTCCATGTCTCCTCAAAGAGGAGTAACTGCCCCTCTATAGTTTTTATTTGGTGGGCTTATTTAAGCCCAAACTCTGCTTGCTGTGTTCTCAGAAATCATAGCAGTACCTCACAGTTTTAGCAAAGCTATGACTTACATATGCTATATGTATAATAGATAAACTTACTGTAACTGAGGAACTATGCCAGAGCTTTCTGATGCAGGTGTCACTGGGGTCATAGGAGTCATTGGTATCAGAGGAGGACATGTGCCAGATGCTTCAGGAAATGATTGAGTTGCACCTGGGTATGACAAGCTGGTTTCATCCACAAAGATGCCACTGTCCTCATTACTTGATATTGAGCCATCAAGTTCTTTTTGCTTTTCATAAACATCTTCAGATAGATTTTGTTCTTTGTCATCTTGGGTAATGTCTGGAAGAAAGCTGAGATCCACAGAGAAGTCTGTAGAAAGATCTTTGGGCTGATTCAGTTGAGAACCAAACATATCTTCAGTGGTTTGAATTGGAAGGTCTACATCATAAGGACTCATGGGAGTAAACAGCTGAGGACTAGCTGAGAGGTCATCCTTGAATTAAGAAAAAGTGTCATTAAGGCTCTTGTATTAAAACATTTACTTTAGCTGGAAGACTAAATTAAGATTGATCTTCTATTCAATGAGGAAGTTTCATTCATTTTTTTTCCCCGAGACATAATTAAAGAATCTTTAAGATTTGAAATTGTGTCTTTTGCTTGTCTATCAGCATATAAAAATCCAGGTAACTTCTATAGCAGAGATACACTTTTTTCCACCACATTTCAAAGGCAGTCTAGAACACTCCTGTAATACTACAAATTAAGAAATACCAAATACCTTCAGCTGTGACTGGAGGTACAGCGTTGGCACTTTACCCTTCACAGCCATTGTCATGCCTCAGTTATGCACGTAACCCCCACAATTGCTGATGACTTTTTTTCAGGGAAGACAGCTGGCACTTTCTGGCTGGCATTAATTCCCATTCAGTAATTTACTGTTTCTTGCTACCAAAGGACAGTGTCAATGTTGTTTTGGATTTGTGCAATAGAGGGCAGCAGCTCACAGAATCACGAGCAGTTATATCTTCGGCTGCTGGAGGTCACCAGACTAATTCAAGTGAGACAGTCAGCAAAGCTAGTGTCCTTTCACAGCATGCAACATACCCGCAAAGTTCTTGCATACTGATTTATTATTAAAAGCTATTTAAAAGGCATCATAATATTGAAAAGGCAAGAGTTTAGAAAAGGATTTATTCCCTTCTCCACCAGCACATAAGCCTCTAGTTAGTAAATACATCTTCCAAGAAGGTGGTTTCTGCCAATACCCCCAGCAGGTGAGAACTTGGACTAGGTGATCCATACATACAAGAGGTTTTATGTTTGTTCAGGCATTTTTGCCTTGAGATCCAAAAGGACTCAAAAAGTCCAAGCACAGATCAGGGAACAGTGCACAAGACTGAGGCTCTGAGTCGGCAGCAACCACCTAAGCTCCAGTGGGAGCAAAGTTTCCAGATCAGTGCTCAATGCTTTCCAGCCCTGAGCTAGTGCTGCTCTATGTCCTGTGCTAATTACCTCACTTAATGCAGCCATGCACAAGGGGAGATCTCTACTTCTACTTCCCACTGTATTTGCCTATAGATACTAGGAAAACCCTAAGTGACATATCCTCCCAGAGAAACCTTACTAGCTTGAATACAGATGTGATCAGGTCAAGCTCTGAAAGGACCACCAACACCTACATTCAAAACTGTTTCTAAAACTGATTTTTAGATGCAGAGCCCCATATGAGATCAGTTGGGGCAGAGTGCTATTGGGTAAGACAAAGTACTCCAGAACCCATTGACTCTTTGGAAAACGTGATCCAAGAGCACTACCCGAGAATTAAAAGGCCAGATACAAATGTATTAACAGTTACTAATAACAATATACTGAGCCTGTAGGAATATGCACACATCATACTAAGGGGCATCAAAGACTGCGATAATAGTAAAAAAAACAAAAACCAAAACCCAGTTTGTGTCACAGCTTAAAGGAACTGATAGAAAAATGAGGCTGGAATTATTAAACAGCTGTAAAATAAGTAAAGAAAAAAGTAACAAACTACATAAATTAGGTCAAAACAGAAAGCAACTCTTCCTTTCTCATCAGGTTTCCATATAACTGGTATAGGGAAAAGCACTTATAGGGTTAAGTGCTGGGGAGGATTGCCTGCTTGTTAGACAGAGGCTCAAAGGATGTGAAAGGGGGCACAAGACTGTTTGTATTGGGCTGGCTGCCAAGGGGTTTTGCTATAGACTCTAGGTTAATTAACTTTATTGAAGGCCTGATCAACTGCATAGCTTCGGACATCTCCCAGCAGTGCCAGGAAGGAGATTTCACACACAGATCCTGTCAGAGGTCACTAAGTCTGGGGGAGATTGAGGGGAAACAGCCATTTCCACTTCCACTGCAGGAATCCTTGCAATCCACATACACAAATCAGATCCTTTAAGCAACAGACTTGGCTTTTTTTCCTTTCTGTAGTGGTATCTCACACATCTGCTATTATTAAACATCCCAGCAGGTCTGAAATACAGACAGCTCAGAAGTATTTCCAAAACCCTGGTTATACCTCATCTCATTATGTACTTTGTAGGGCCATATTCAGGGAGCTGTACTAGCTGCCATTCTGGATTTAGACAACCTGCCCTAAACCCATTTTCTGAGCTGGTAAGTGGCTTGTAACAAGAGACAAGCATAGAAATAGGGTTTCCTGTGTGAAGAGGCTGCTCAGCTGCGAGTCCAGCCCTCTCCTAGACCCTCACCTTGTGGTCTCTGCAACCTCCCGAGACCAAATCATCCAAATACCAAAAACCAGAAATTTTCGCAAACGTTTACCAAGCAACATGAAAAGATGCGAGCGTCCTGCCCCCTCAGTGCCAACACACCCCAGCGCACCCGCTGGTCCTGCAAACAGCGCTCCGTTCTAACGCAGCGGAGCTCCTCCTTGAGCGCGTTAAGAACGACCTCCCCATCAGCGAGACCCTCCAGCGCTCCTCATGCTCTCAGGAGCTCAGGAAAACTGTGGGTCGCTGCTCCCGGCATGAGGCTATACGGGATAGCTCCCAGATCACGGCGAGAGAAGTCACATAGTACGGCCGGAGCTCGTCGGAGGCGTCACACTTCAGGGGCGGGATCGAAAACGGGTTCAGCGCCGCGTTGGTGGTATAGTGGTGAGCATAGCTGCCTTCCAAGCAGTTGACCCGGGTTCGATTCCCGGCCAACGCAGTGAATTTTTTTTTTTTTAATCCCCCCCCCTACCTGCCCTTCACAGCGTTCCAGGTATCTCTCCAAAGGCGACACTCCATCCATGACCGCAGCCACCCACCAGGTCCCCCAACACCGCTCCGGTTCTGGCTTTAATCCCGAGCGGCACCGGGGGCAGGTGGGGCTCCTCAGGGAGCGAAGCCAAGCACAGCTGTGTCTTTTAGGCTTTGAGCCCTTCCCCTGCCTTTGCAAGGGTTTGCTCCATCCTGCGGAAGGGCTGGAGGAACCGGGGTGCTCTGATGTGCTTTAGAGGAGCCTGCAAACATAACTTGCTCCTCAGCTCCCCTGAGCTTGCCTCTCTGTCAGATGCTGAACATAAATGTGGAGTTGGAGCCCTGGCTTAGACCTTGCAAAGATAATGCTTCACGTGTGGCTGGTGCTTTTTAGTGAGCAAGTGCAATGGGCCCTTAATTTCTCCCACCTGCCTCATTGGCTGCAGTAAGGCACATCTGGTCCTTTGAGGAAAGCCCCAGTCCAAAATTACAAACCTCAGACTCACACCATTGCAATGGAATGGTCTGTTCTCAGATGGGCCAGTATTGCAAATGATGCTGGGGGAGGAAGCTCTTAGTCCTGTTTGCTGCTGTTCTCCCCTTGCAGGTATTTTCCTCACTGGTGTCTCTGTTTCTACCCCTGTGAGCGATGTTTCAAGGCCATTCCCTCTTCAAAAGGCTTGTGTGGAGAGTCTGGGTGTGTGAGAGCGTGTTCCCAGGAGGGAGTTTGTGTTGCGTGCCACTGATGCTGCAGGAATGTCACCTGCCAATGCTGCTTGACTTGGGCATTGCTTGACTTGATGCCAGTGGTTACTGTCAGCCTTGTTGCTGCTCTCCTGTCCTATTGCTGTATGTGATGGATGGATGGAACACATCCCTTTCTGGGCTGGTGGATGTGCTGACTGCTATGATCAATGTACCCTCTTGCTCTGCTAGACAGGACTTTGCTTTCTGCTGTGAGATCTGCTTGCAAACAGCTAGCTGAGCTGAAAAAGCCCTTTGGAAGATGTCAAAGCCAGGCACATGGCAGGTCTTTGGAAGGTGCTGCCAGGCTCTTCCAGCTACCCTAGAGGTGCAAAGGTTTAGGTTAGTAGCCTTCATCTGTGTTGCAGAGTGTATGTGGCTGATGAGCATCCTTCCCTCCTCAACACAGCCTGCTGGGCTGGTTTTGTGGTATTTCTAGGATTCACCTTGACCTGTGCTTTACAGGTGCCAAATACCCAGCCCCAGAAAAATCCAGTCTCAAGGAGGTAGATTTACACCACACAGCCCTTCCCCGAAGACCCCAGAGACAAGTCAAGAAGTAAAGCAAGGAGAGGACTCTCAGAGAGGTTGCACCTTGAATTATGGAGGCTGATGGAGCTAGCTGGGACCAGTTGAGGATGGTTCAAGTTAAAATGTCCCATTTCAGCTGGCAGGTGATTGGGATGGTTTCAGACCACTCCATGGCCTCAGCTGGTTTTGCCAGCACAACGGGACAGCGTACCGAGGGCTGAGAGGGCTTGGCTCTCACCAGCAGTGGCAAGCCCAGCCCTCACAGGGCTCTTCAGGACAGCGTGGGCCTGCATTGCCCACAGGGGTCGTTGTATTCAACACAGGGATTGTGCCGAATTTGTCTTGTCCTTACAATGATAGCTCATGGGGACAGGAAATTGGTGCTCCCTCAGTGTTGTGAACACTTGCTGTGCTGAAGTTGGGAAGCTGGAGTGTCGTGTAGTAGTCATGGTGTTTCCCTGGTGTGGTCCTGCAGCTGTAGTGCTGAGTTTCCTCAACTATCCTTTGTTTCACTGCAGAACCCCCTGGAGATAGGCTATGTTAATCTCACAGCTCCTGGGGATTTGCCTGCATTTTGTGAACCTGAGATGGAGAGGTCGAACTGTGGTGATTAAGTGGGAGAGGCTACATCAGAGATGAACATAAAATACAAACCTCTTAATATGGGTGTTGCTTCCTGCCGTGGATAGGGGCATCCTGCAAATAGCATGGGCATCAGTGTAAAGCAATGTAATCAAGTTATGCAGTTTGGTGACTCTTCTGTTAAAACAGCGTCAGATTGTTTACCCTTCTTGAGGTGAAGAAGGGAAAATGTTTAGAAAGCTGAGAGATTATCAGAGAGCAAAGAGTCACATTCCGTGGGTGATTCAAGCTCTCAGGGTTACTTCCATGTAAGGGATGTAAGGATCTTCTGGATGATGCCCAAGGGAGGGGAGGCATGGCTGTGCCTTGGGAGGGCTCCGTGCTCACAGCTTCCTTCTCAAGGCTGAATATCCACTCGTGGTGCCCAGTGTGTTGGAGGCTCAGTAAGTGAGGTGCACAGTGATGGGCGAGTCCCAGTGAGTGGAGGCCCAGGTAGTGGGAGGTCAAGGGACCACCTTTTCCTTTGGAAAGCAGCAGCCACCCAGAGCCAGGCCAAAGTTACTGATGAGCAGGACCACTCAGAGCAGGGAAGAAACCATGCTTCCTCTGTGCAGTGGAGGCAGCTGTTATACACAGCCCTGCATAGTGGGAGCTGGTTATGGGGCAATGAATCATCTGAAGTGCACAGTTACTGTAATGATGAATTGTCATGAGTCTTAATTAGCAAATTGCTTAATTTTACTTAGAAAGTTGATGATTACTACAGCAACAAGTGCTTTGTGTATTCTTTGTAAGCATTGTTCAATATCTTTCTTCCTTGGATAACTAATTGGAGAAAACTATTCCAAAGAGCTTCCACTACTGTGCCTGTGTCGGTCTCTTAAACATTTCTGCAGCAGACGTTCCTGCTTTTCCTGGATTCTTTAATCTCGTTGTGGGATGGGACTCACAGGAGACTTTCAAAATCCTGGAAGGGACAAGGAGCAAGTCAGTAAGGAAGCTCTACCTGTTTTATTCATTAGTGCTCTCAGCAGCTGCCTTCTATTTTAGCATGCTGTAAATGTCTACCTGCTTGCTTTGAAGTTGGTTAATCTGGTTTGGCTTTATCTTACCTTTTTTTCAGGAGGATGTTTGAGAACTAAAAGCTCGTGACTGACAATGCTCTGCTTTCTGCTCTCCTGAGCTTTATGCTAAACTTTCATAGATGTAATTGTCTCAGAAGTGTATAGCTTGTCTCAGGTGTAGCTTGCGTCTCCTGGTGCCCTTGCTGCCTGCAGCATTAAAGCCTGGCCTTTGGAGGAGGTAGAAGAGCAATTGAGAGCAGGATCGTGTTCCAAGAAGAGAGGAATATATTATGCACAAGATGTCTCCAAATGCAGCACATTCCAATTGCGCCAGGATTCTATGCTTCTTGTTGCAAAGATGATTCCTTCTGTTTGGTTTAGCCCTGTTTTGGCCCCTGTGCCTTGATTCCCTTCTTGCCAAGGATGTAAATAGAGTGAGGTTCTGAGGAGGACCCCAAAGTGGGGGTCAGAACAAAGTGCAGACAAGCTGCAGTGTCATCAGTGGGCTCTGCGGGAATGAAGGACCTGCATGGAGCTGGCAAGGCTCTCAAGAAGCTGCAGCACAAAAGGCATCTCAGAGTTAAATGCTGGATGCTGAAGTGCCTTCAGTCTGACAAGTGTGACGATCACACTCTCATACTTATTTATCCAATAGGTCTGCATTCTAAACCTGATCAATGCTTTTCAGTGTCAGTATATAGTAGATTTATTGCTAGGGAAGCAAAGAAGCCACCACAACTACTCACTGCGAAATAGTGAGTAATTTTATAGAATCATAGAATAATAGAATAGTTAGGGTTAGAAAGGACCTTAAGATCATCAAGTTCCAACCCCCCTGCCATGGGCAGGGATGCCTCACACTAAACCATGTCATCCAAGGCTCTGTCCAACCTGGCCTTGAACACCGCCAGGGATGGAGCATTCACAACTTAATTTGACTTTTAGTTGTGAATGTTAAAGTGTATCATCATTAGGTTATGCTGGTGTAAATACAAACATAATCAGGTTCATTAGGTTTGATATTTGGTTCTAATTTGCCCCTGTGTAAATCAAGTATCACCCTCTTAGAGAAGTGAAGTTACAATGACTTGAAATTGTGTCACAATCTAGTTTAATTTTCAGGTTTACTGAGTGATGAAGAAGAGCTGTAACTTCCCATTTCCCTGAATCAGATGTTGCAGCCCAGGTCGCATAGTAGTAAGGCTGCCACTTCTTTGTCCTGTCAGACTGGGGCTCTCTTATCCCCTGAACAGGGCAGTAATGTGGGATTTGGTATTCTTTGCAAACATTAGCAGGCTCTCAGCATTTGTCTGCTAATGTGTGTTCCTTCCATACATGCTAGCAGAGACAAGCGTGAAGTCAATGCTCAGGGTGCATTGACTTCTGGAAAAGGAAGTCACTTCTGTCAGATGGAAAAGGGGTAAACTGGCTAGAAAAGAGCCATTTTTCCTGACTTCTACAGCACTATTATGTGCAATGAAGACACTAACTGCCCCCATGTCAGAGAATTGCTGAGAACCAGACCCAGGGAGGATTGCCAAATCCTCCCCTGAATGCCAGAGGAAGCACTGTAAGTAAAACTCATCTCTCACAACTGAAAGGCTGAATGGTGACTTTAAAACGATACAGTTAACTTAGTTTAATTTTCTTATCTATGCAAAGCAACAAATGAAGACATTCGGTATGTAGTTTGCATAGAAATCCACTCGTCCTGGCCCAGCTGTGCTCTTAAGCCTTGTACTGCAGTGTGGGGGAGAGCACATTGGTCTATCCTTATTTTTCGTTCTATGTTACATTTAAAATATGGCCAGAAAAGGGGAAAACGGGGGAGGAAGGGAAAAAAGGGTGAAGAGAGGGCTTTAAACATTGGCTGCCACCTTAATTGCGACCTAGCAATTAATGGCGACAGGCTTTCTTGGACAGCTCCTCCATGAATGTCGCACACAAATGTATCTGACACCTGGGTTCAGATGTATTCTTCCATGCTTTTTGTTAAGTCATCTTTCTAATTTTTGTGCCACATGGGCTGCCTAAATTGAATTGCATTTAAACGAGGTGTGTGCGCGATGGATCATCTGACTGCTGCTCTTTCCCTCCAAGTTCTGTGACAAATTGCTCTAATGCAAACACCTTGTTTCATACCTGGAGCTTACTGCTGCAATTAAATTCTGATCCTTTAAGCCTTATCTTGAAATAAGCGATAGCACTCATGCGTGTTTGCCCAGAGAAGCAGAGAGGTGTGCATATAACAGATGCTAACAGACCTCTATTAATTTAGTTTGCAGGGGTCACAGGAACATTGAAGACATGAGCAATGACATTAGCGTGTCTGGGACCTTCAGTGCAAGCTCTCCAAGAATTAGAGCAGACACCATGATGCTTTCACTGCTGTGTCAGCTGAGGTATGTCACCACTAGAGTTTTTATTAGTTTACTGTAGAGGGAAGGACAACTAAATACAATGCAAATACAATGAGCCAAGGAAGGGTGCCGACCAGTCACTGAAATCCTTGTAAAACTTAGTTTTGTCTGAGTGATTAGCAAGATATAATGACTGACACCGCAATGAGTCTGCAGGGTGAATGGCTCGGCGATTAGTCAGTTCTCATTACCTCTTCCTCCAATTAACAGCAAGCAAATCAGAGTCAACAAGACCTCAGGAGAAACTGGACTTCCCTAAAACGCTGCCACATGTCAGCAGAAACTTCCCCCCCCCCCCCCCCCCCCCCTTGACCTTTTGGTACTTTTAACACACATAATTAGCTGTTAACGCAATCATGTTTCTGTCACCCTAGCCCTTCGCCTGTGGTCTGCCAATAAACACAGTTAGCTGTGACGAAGGAGTACATGGCCAGCTCTGCCCTCATGTGCTCCTGCTCTTCATCTCGTTTCCACACTCGTCCCAGCCAAGCAGGAACCCAGCTGGAGATCCCTTTTGGTACAGCCTTATCCCTCCATTTGGGTCTTCCTCGCTCCTCCTTGCTGTCTTTGCAGTTTCTGTTGCTCGTATGTTTTCCCTTGAACAGGTTATGGCATTAAGACTATGGGCATCATATATATATTATACATATGGCTTTCTTATACATTAGCTTTTATGGTCAGTGTATAGAAATATAATTCTATTAATTCTCCCCATACAATCCAAGAGAGTATTATGGAATATTTTTATCTATTCTTGGTGTTTGCAGGCTGTGGAAAAGCTGTCTTGTTGCAGTGCCACTTTTTTCCTCTTTTCTTCAGTTCACTTGCCTGCAACTTGTCAGAATTAATTAAATGCCATGATTGCTTTGGCCTCCATTCAGTGGGCATTTACCTAACTTGTAAATACAAGAGTAGCTCCCCTGAGCTCTGTTTCCACTCAGGTAGAGTTGCTAAAGTATGCCCAGCAATGCTCTAAGGAAAATGAGAAACCCATATGGGCATGTGTTTGGGAGGGTCCTAATTTGGCTGTTTTATAAAATCCAAATCATGATGCTCAAATCAATTAGGTTTTGTCTATTAATATTAAAACCACTCGCATTTATCCCCAGGTATTTTTTACAGTCCCCTTTACTCCTAGTCTGGCATAGGCAGTGCTGCTATCCAAAATAAATGAAGTGTGTGAAGACAGACAGTTTAAAGGTGTTGAGGAATGTAGCTGTTTCAGACCTCTTACCTCTCACTTGACTCTCACCTCATTTGTTAATGGGCCCATTTTTCCCTGTAGGACAATAACGCTTTTCTCTGTGACATTTTATAAAAGACCTACTAAACCTCCTTTTGTCCCTTAGGGTAAAATCAGTTGAACTGGCTTCTTTTCTGGTGCCTTTCTGTTTTCCCTAGCGAATCTGGGTTGGCTCTGTCCTTTGTCCTCCAGGCTTTACAAACAGTATGATAAGAAACCCTTAGACATCTTATGAATTTAGATACCACATGGGCAGATGGTAGGTTCACTAGGGAGAGGCCTGTCATGATCTAAAAAGGTTGGAGGTATAGGCAAAGAGAAGCATATTTGTTCATTTTAAGTATGAGGAGCTAAAATAGCAACTAGCAGAGAGATGTATGGTTTGTGACACCATGGGGAACTTTGGATCTCCGGGGACACTAGTGCTCCTTCTGCTGTTTGCAGAATGTCTCCCTGGACACAAAGATTTGCAAACATTTCCATACCTCCATCCACCCTTGGGATGTGGGTGTGTATTACCACTGGTGGTAGCAAACTGGGGACCAGAGAACAAAGATCCCCCTGGCTTGACACTCATTACACAAGGCAGGCGGCTGCATCCCTTGTGTGGCTGCAGACAAAATACCTTAGTATTAAACTTACTCTGCAGTGGCATAAACAGCTGGGATGGTTCCTGTACTCTTTGATTTATCCCGACAGGCTACGAGTGCCTTTACTGCACATTTCCTTAGAAGTTTGTCACAGCCTGACACGCCGCTCCCATGATGCCTCACAGAGCTCAATCAATGTCCTTCCCTGGCTGCAAAAGGAAAAACATGCTGAGCCAGCCTTGCAGGCTGCATCAGCAGTGGGATATCTTATCCTCCTACTGAAAGAGCCCTTGGAGCAGAAGGTCTGTCTGACTTTCCATTTCTTTCCAATGCCCCCCCCCCGCCCCCCCCCCATCCCTCACTGCATATTGTTTCTCTTTGCTGCAGGTCTGTGGGTATTGTGTTGGTGTTGTAAACATTTTTTGTTTGAAAGGGAAAATATCTTCATTCCATAGGTATTGATGAAGAGGAGTATTAACTTAAAACCTGCTATAGATGAAGGTGTAACAGCATAAATAACAACTTGGTAGTCTGAATGGTGAATAGGAGAAACGATTTGAACTATTACTGTGATACCACATGAGGAGTGTTTTATGGGAGACAAGGTATTTTCTGTGTCATTTCTTCATTTGCTTTGCTCAACAGTACCCATCCAATCTTAAAAAATCACCTTCTACTATGATGATAGCAAGAAAAGGGAAGAATATTTGAAACTCACTTTGAAACAGTACTCAATGTGAATTCAAAGCCTGGTTATTATTGTGCAGCTAGGAAAGCTGCTTTTCTGTTTAGCTTTCCTGTGATCCCTTTAGCTTTATCTGATACTGAAGCCTTGAAATCTCTAGACTAGAAATTAAATTCTACCTCTGTAGCCCAGGCCTAATGACCCACTGGCATCACAGCAAATAACTTTTCCTTTACCATGAGTTCTTCCAGCTCAAACTTCTGCTTTTCAGTCAAAACTGTAGTCTTTTGGAAGAAACAATAATGAAAACCCTGTGACACAAGCATAAGCATAATTGGTGACTTGGAAATTAACAGGGATTATTCAAACTGATGGCAGGCCCTGATTTTGCAGGGTTTTAAGGGCTTGGTTTATTCTGCTTGCACATGTTAGCATGTAGAACAGTCAGAAGGGCTCTGTCTTGGACTGATACGGAATTTAGGGTGGCCATGGCAAGGCAATGAGCTGAGCAGTCAGGGTGCCTGGGTGAGATGCTGCACCTACAGCATCAGACAGCAATTGCTGCTGCTACGTTGGGTATAAACTGCAGTGTTTTGGGAGAGGACATGTGCAGGGCTTGGGTGTCTGGTACAGGAACAGCAGCTTGAGGGGGGGAAAGAAAGGGGTTTTCCATTGGGATTTCCCATGGGCTTTCCATTTTATTTTACATGTGTGAAAGCTTGAGAGCAGCTAGTCCCAGGCCTGTGGTAGGAGGTGAAGACTGAAGAACATGAAATGAAACTGAGAGAAGTTGTGATTTAAGTCTGATCACTCTGAAAGTGTTGGGCATTGACATGTCTGGGTGTTTTAATGGTGCTGCTCAAAATTGGTCATTTTTTGAATGTGACAGAATTGAACAGAACAGTTTTAAACCCTGTTTTGGGCTCTTCAGTGCTTTGTTATAATGGTAAAATCCAGAATTGGAAGGTGAAAGGAGTTTAGAAATAGTTTTTCAGTGAGCACTCAAACAGCTTCTAACAATTCCCTTTATTAGCTGGATTTTCAGCAGTACAAAATGTGACCATGATCATCCCAGCTTAATAAAAAATGTAGATACATTGTGATAGCATGTGGATTATGTGGAGACTTGCATCAGCCTGACGGATTTTCATATTGATCACACACAACATCATGGTTTTGACTGTTGTTTCTTATTATGAGCTTTTAGTCTTCTCACAAGAGTTTCCAGCATCATTTCTGCTGACAGATGCTGCTTAGGACAGATGTATTTTTATTCCCTTACAGTTGCCTTGGATCAAACACCTTTTTCCACGTAGCTCAAGTTCTGCAGTGGAGTACTCCTGGTTTACTACTCCGAGAAAACTGTAGTCATTTTTGTGACCTTCTTTAGAATCAGCAGAAATCTTTTTTTGGCATGTGTGATCTAGTAATTTCCACTTCCTACCAGTTGTAGGAACTCATGCTTGTAAATAGTATAGAAAAATCACGCAAATAAAGAGAAACAGAAAAAATTGAGCATTTGGTCATACTTTTTTCTTTTCTAGCTGGAACCAGTGAGGTGAAGGAACTTGCAGGATGTTTGTTTCTGGCAGAGATGGGGATCTGTAATGTTTTTTATATAAAATACTAAATTGACAATAATCAGCTTCCATGGCTTGCAGCTAAGCACATAGCTCGCCCTTCTCTCAGGCCTCCTCTGAATCCACAGAGCTGAAGGCTTTTTTCCTTGTGATCTGAGAAAGCAAAATTCCTGACAAAACTAATGACTTGGGGCTCCTGTGGCATTTTAAAACTTTTTCTTTTTCCTCATGAGTGGCTGCCTAATGTGAGTGGGATTTCAGTGATGGTTTGCATTATTCCCTCCCTGCAGTTGGGGATATTCAGCATCATTAGCCTGGCTGACTGATCTGCACAGTGGTAGCTCTCCAGTGAGTTTTTCTACCAGGTTTCTCAGTCCACATAATATAGTTTATTGCCTAACATATTGAGCAATGGTCATACAAGTGTGGGTCCATGGCAGAACCCCAGTCCTCAGCTGTGGGGCAGCAAATTTGTTCCTGCTCCTGGGAAGCAGTGATTTGGTTCTCATGCCAGCTGGAAAACCCTGCTGTGGACAAAAGCAATTAAACATCAGCAAAATCTATTGTTGCTGAACACTGCCATAACCACTGTAGCTACCTAAATGATTAATACTACTCTGCTCTTGTGAACCTCCACCTGCAGTACTGCATCCAGCTCTGGGACCCCCGACATAAGAAGGACATGGACCTGCTGGAGTGAGTCCAGAAGAAACCACTAAGATACTCAGAGGGCTGGAGCACCTCTCCTACGATGACAGGCTGGGAGAGCTGGGGTTGTTTAGCCTGAAGAAGAGAAGGCTCTGGGGAGACCTTAGAGCAGCTTCCAGTGCCTAAAGGGGCTGACAAGAAATCTGGAGAGGGGCTTTTGACAGAGGCCTGCAGGGATGGGACAAGGAGGAATGGCTTTAAACTGACAGACGGCAGATTTAGATGAGATACTAGGAACACGTTCTTCCCTGGGAGGGTGCTGAGGCACTGGCACAGGGTGCTCAGAGAAGCTGTGGCTGCCCCATCCCTGGCAGTGCTCAAGGCCAGGTTGGACGGGGCTTGGAGCAACCTGGTCTAGTGGAAGGTGTCCCTGCCCATGGGAGGGGGCTTGGAACCGGATGAGCTTTAAGGTCCCTTCCATCCCAAACCATTTGATGATATGACTCTATGATTATAAGCAAGATTTGGGCATCAGTTTGCACCTTGCAAGCATAGGGTGCAGAGGCTGCCTTTGCCTGACTTGTGTGCTGCTCTCAGCAGCACTCCTGCAAGAGTGGAGTGACTGGCTGGGATATGCTGAGGCAGGGAAGCTCTGGGATGAAGCAGCAAAATGCTGCCCTGTGATTGAAGTTGCCACCTCCTGCACATCCTGTGACCATCGCTGCTGGCATGTACTTGCCTCTGGCCTGCTTTGCCTTGCATGCAAAGGCACAGCTTCTGCCAGCATGCACCTTGCCTTTGCTCTGAATAGTTTGGAAATGCTGGGGTAGCCTGCAGCTGAGTGACACACATCGCTAATGAAGAGGGTAGTGGTGAGCTCTTAGTGCAGCTCAGTGCAAATCCTTCTTTGATACCAAATGCTGTGGAGCAGATGATTTCTCAAGGGTGCTTTGGGACAAGCAAAAAAAATTGTTTGCTGTGAGCAACAGGACCTGGTAATTAAACCAAACTCTTCATTGCCAGAGGTATGAAGAAATGATGGGAGGGTGTGTGCAAAGCCTTGGGGGGATGCCAGCCTCTCCAGTTTGCTGGGAGAACTCCCTTTTGCTGACTGTCTCCCGGCTGAAGAGTGGTGAGCCGCTGTGGATACCACAGCTGGGCTCAGCATGCTGGTCCTGACAAGCATCAGCTCTGATGTGCAGCCACTGCTGGCTCAGCTCTCCTTATCACTGCTCCTGCTGCCAAAAAAGGTGAATTTTCTTGTCCACAGGAGTTTGCTTTTTCCTATCAATGTTTGGAACTCCTGGAAGCTGCGGGTTAATGTCAGTCCCCCAGTGATGGAGCCAGACTTGTGGCCTTGGTGGCTGCTTCTGCTGTTTCACTGTCCCCCAATAACTATATGACAGAGCATTAACTGTCATCCCTGTGAGTACCCACAGATGCATGGTCAGCCACTGATCTCATGCGCAAGCTGTTGGTGATGTTCAAGGTGAAAGAAATTTGCCCTGTGAGCACTTTGGGAAGGATCCACGTCAGAAGAAATAAAAAGGAAGAGGTTTAAGACGTCTGAGCTGAAAAAATCCACTTAAGCTCCCCTGAACTCCAGACCAGCACAGCCGTGATTGAATGAGCCCCTTCAGTACGTCCTGCGCTGCGAGCAGGGCTAAATCATGCTGGATATCCAGGCAGTTTTAAGGCAATTAAGAGAAATGCAGGGGCACCCCCCCTTGCTGGTCAGGGGGAGACGTCCTGGGGGAGGCCTTGGGGTGCACTGTGCCTGCCTGCCCCGGGCCCATGGGGTGCCTATGCTTGCCCACCCTCCAGAAAGGAGGTGGAGAGGGGTGCGGAAGGAGCCAATGTGCACTGCGTGGGGGTCAGTAGGGAGAACGGGGCACCCAGGCAGGTGATGCCCTGCATGGATAGGGGACCCTTGTGCGTGTAAGCAGTGGGCGCTGGGGGTGATTCCCCTGCTCGGGTGGGAAACCTGAGTGGGAGGATCCCAGTGTGCCTGCGGGAGGCCCGGGTGAGGGATCCTTGGGGATCCTCGCATGGAGGAGGTCTGGGGGGTGGGATCCCCGCACACGGAAGGCTCCGGGTGGAGGTACCCACACACGTGGGGATGGCGGCGGGGAGGTTCCCTGCGGAGGGGGCGAAATCCCCGTTTCTGGGGTAGCCGTGCGGGGCTCCCGGGGTCTCCCCACGCCGGTGTGGGCTCTGGTGGGGGTGACTCCGCGGTGCGACAGGGTAGGTTGGGGACCCCGCAGGGCGGGGCGGACGTGAGGCTGCGGTGCCACCGGCCATCGCCGCCGCGCCTTTAACAGGCGGGAGGGGGGGGGCCGGCAGACGCGGTGGACGTGCGGTGCCGCCTCCTCCCTCCCTCCCTCTTTCCTTTCCCTTCCCTTCCCTTCCTGCCCGCCAGCGCCGCGCAAGCGCTGGCTTGCCGCCGCTCCGTCTCCGCCGACCCGCTCTGCACGGCCCGGCCCAGCTCGGCCCGGCCCGCCGCGTCTCACGGTGAGTCCCGCCCGGGGAGCGCCCGGCCCGGCGGCGTGGAGGGCCGGGTTGGGCTTGGGGCCGGGGCCTGCCCGCGGCCTGCCCGGCGAGGGGCGGTGGGCCTAGGCCTCTGCGTGGCTGAGCCGCGGAGCCGGCAGGTGGGCGGCGGGGCGAGCCCCGCGCTGCGGGTTCGGCTGGGCGGCCCCCGCCGCCCTCCCTGGGGGCGCTGAGGGCGGGGGTTTCGCCGGGGGCCCCGCTCGGGGGTGGGGGGGAGAAGCCGCTCCCACTCGCGGCCGTGGGGCGGCTGCTGCCGGGGGCATCCGGCAGCCGCGCCGCTGGGGCAGCGCAGCCCCGCCGGGCAGGGGCGGTCGGTGCCGCCGTTGCACGTCCCCTGGGAGCCTTCCCGAGCCAAGGAAACTGCTAAAATGGGGGAAAATGATGTATAGGTCGTAGGTGTGCGTGTGTACCTGCCCGCTGCCGGTGACGCGGACCTGGGGAGCGCGGTTGAGGGCGAATTGACCCCCAGAATGTGATGTATACGAGTTCCCCGTGGGTTTCGGCCCCCAGGGTAAGGTTAGGCGTGAGCCGAATGCTGCAGCGCCCGGCTGGCCTCGCAAACTTTAATGAAGCATTGCGCTTTGCCGGTTGGAGGAGTCCGGCCCATTTTGTATTCCTGTGGTAGTGCTAACCGCTCACGGGAAAGCCAGTTGCCTTTCCCCGTGTTCGCAGGTGATGTTTGTCAGGGGTATCTTATTTAAAGCTGCCTCTGCCTTTCTGGTACAGCGTTGGTGCCGGGTGCTCGCGGCGGCGGTAACCCCAGAGGTAGTGGTACCCTCATGTCTTTTCTCTCTACTCACAACTTACTGCTCCATTCTTGGAGGCCTCCCTCTGCCGTGCAGGTTATTAAGGGGGGAAGTATAGTGGTGGGGAAGACAGAGCTGCAGGGCTATATGTTCTGTACCCAGCTACTTTTAATTGATGAAGTAACTTAATGAAGTAGGTGGCTATTAAGAATAATGTAGCATCTTTTCGGCATTAGGCAGCGCCAAATGCTGCTTTCCAGTGATGTGCATGCGCCTGTGTGCTTTAGTTTTGCCAGTTTATAGCCTGCCTTTTCCAAAGGCTCTGCTGTGTGTTTTGAAGTCACTGTTAGCAGAACTAGAAAGATTATTTCTTGCTTTGTTGAAGTGAGCTAAGGAAGAGATATAAAGCTGATACTCAGCTGTAGTTCAAAAGAACTTAAAGTGTTTTTTTCCTTGTGTTTCCATTGCTGCCTCTCTCCAGCAATGCGCGTGACGTTTAGTAGATGTAACTGGCAAATTCTGTTTAACCTCTCTTTCTGTATGACAAGGCAAAAATCCCTCTCTGAAAAGTCTGAATTAATTGCTGCAGAAGTTAAAAGGGGATTCAGTTCCCATGTTCCACCTTCTTTCAGATATTTTCCTTGCATGTTCTCTTGGTGAATTGTCCTCCTCTTTGGTTTGGGCTGGAAGCATTTCTCTGCCTTGTGGACCTCTTCCCTATAACTGCACTGTAATTTCTGTCCGCAGACGGGCTACGCAACTTGCTTTACCACATATTTTTTCTCTTGCCTCATATGCTGATGCTGCTTTCTGTATACTGTGATTAAAATAACTTTTGTGTGTAACTGCAGCAGGGAAAGGTTGGGGTTTGGCTAGAAACACTAATTCCCTGTTAGAGTTACTAACCTTTATCTGTTAATTGATTTTTTTTTTTTTTCCCCTATCTGTCTAGTCTCAAGAAGATACTTTCTGCTCTCAGTAGCAGCAGTAGGATATGAAGAACACAATTAGCTTTTAGTTTGGTTCTTTACCCCCCCACTGTCAGAAAATCCCCATTGCAGATAACTAATCCTGATAACTAGTTTGGTTTTGAGACCCCTTGAAGAAAAGGGAAAGACTTGTTCAAGCCTGTGTAAAACTGTGGTATTTGTTTAGCTGTGTAGCAGCTTTCATTTGCATCATCTGCTCTTGCTTTTGTTGTTGTTTAAAAGTGTCTAATCATTGCTTGACTGTCAGTGGT